GTTGTCTCTTCTATCTTCTTATCTTTCGAACCGTTCTCAGTGCGTGCGTGTGAATGATTCTGTCTCTTCTTCTTCTGTTCCTTCTGGTGTTCCTCAAGGCAGTGTGCTAGGGCCTCTTTTATTTCTTATTTTTATTAATGATCTACTTCTGTCACTTCCACCTAATTGTGAAATCTGTCTCTTTGCTGATGATGTTTTTTTGATTGTTCCTCTTTCCTCTCTACTGATTCTTCTAATTTTTCTCATGTTCAAAACTGTATAAACTCTGTTTCTCACTGATCTTCTTCCAATCTCATGTCTTTAAACGCTTCTAAATGTTCTTGGCTTCCGCTCTCTTTCAACATATTTCCGTACGTTTATAATCAATTGTATCTCAATGATGTTCCTCTTTCTGTTGTGTCTTCTGTGCGTTGTCTTGGTGTTCTTGTTTCGCACGATCTCAGGTGGAACGATCATGCCAAGGACATTGCTCTTGCTTGTCGGCGCAAGCTCGGAGCATTGAATCGTGTCTTTGGATGAGCTCCAACTAAAGTTCGGCGTCGAATCTATCTTTCTTCTATTCTTCCTAAAATCGACTATTGCTGTGCCTTGTACGACAGTTCGTTTTCTCTTACTGTTCTTGATTCTGTGAACAAACTCGCTTCTCGTGTTATTTCTCGAAATTTTGATTACCGTTCTTCTAGTTCTCTACTTGTGTCTCATCTTTCTCTTCCAAATCTCTCTCTTCGTCGTAAATACTTTAGACTTTTACAGTTTTTCAAAATTTATCATCGTCTAAGTCCTGTTTCTCTCTTTTACACTATTCATCGTCCTCACTAGTCATCTTTACGTCTTCATCACTCTAAATACGTTCGTCTTCCACCTTCTGTTGATGGTTTTTCTCCACAAACGGTGCATTCTTCATTTTTTTATTCAACTATTACTGATTGGAATAATCTTCCAGAGTCAGTTATTTGTCTTTCTTCTTTTATGTCTTTCAAAACAGCCTTACTTCAGTATCTCTTCCAGTGAAACGCTTGTCAGTTAAGCATTTATGCTTGTTCTTTTTTTGTTTTTTTTAAAAAATTTTTGTTTTCTTTTACTACTTCTGGTTCTAATCTTAGTTGTCTTCTTTATTTTGTTATTTCTTTTATTATTATTTTGGTGTTATTTGGCTTGAGTCATTGTTATTACAGGTCGGTGACCTTTGATGATTCTCACTTTTCGTGAATAAACAATCTTAGTCTTAGTCTTAGTCTTAGTCTGATACCTTGCGACCTGTTGATAATCTCCAAAGTAGATGGGTTGACGAGAATCGACTATGTTAAGTTGCATAGTAATGCTTATTTTCTGAAAAAAAATTAAGTACCTAATGGAGAAAGCTAGAATAAGGAATCAAGCCATACAGTCTTTATGGAATTTTTTATGGCTAAAAGCCAACTCATATGCAATCTATTCTAGTCTCTAATGAATGTTTACACGTTTTAATATCAAACGTTTTTCTTTCCTCCAGTCACACATATACTCATCGAACATTACCCTAGTATTTTCGCTACATAAAATGATATTTACCTTTTTTAGTAAAGGAATTGTCTCCACTATGTCTTCCTCTCTCAATCAATCATCTCAGTTATTTCTTGAAAAGAGTTTTTGAAAAAAGAATGTCCTTCCGCATTAACTTCCGAGTCATCCGAAGGAGAAATTGACAGCTAATCTTCCAGTCTTTTTCTTTTGATTGATATACTAGATGTACCATTCTTTAAACTGGTCCTCGATGTATAATTTATCTACTTGTATTCTTCTTTCAAGGTTATCTTACCCATCACTTAAAAAATAGTTTAACTCAGACATGGTATAGAGATCATCAAAAATTCAGTCACTGCTTGATAATTACGTATACAAAATATATAAGATATTGATTATAACGAAATAATCGATATTACATTCCGCGAGTATCTAATATAAAAATAAAATAACTAGTTTTTGCTCTGCATTTAGCAAAAGCATAGTTCATATTTTTTATTTGCTCGGCTTCCATGTATTTGATTATAATTAAAATTTGTAAGAAGATGTTTACCTTTATATACAGTAAAAGAAGTAAGAGAAAAAAAAAATGAAAATAATGTCATCTAATGTGATTCCTTCTCTTTTTTTTCTTTTCTCATCGGTATCGTGTAACACGTTAACTCAGTTTTGTTTTGAGTAAAATACCGAACTGACATAGTTATTAAAAACTTTTCTACTTTTCACAATCGCAGAAAAATTATGTGTTTTAAGAACTCATTTACATAATAGTTGTTAAACAATCGTTCAATTGTGTTTCAGATAAATATGTCTATACCAAAATTACTTGATTTAAGTGAATATTGTATTGCAAAAAATTTTGAACAAATTGTACATGAACAATCAACAACAATTCGTTTATTACCAGTTAATTTAAAAGCTCGTCTATTTTTTCTTTTATCTCGACGTGGCCTCATTAATGATTCAAATATTCATTTATTACTAAACTGCCGCACTCGAGTATTTGATTTTCGTGATTGTAATATAACCGATGAAGCATTGTCTATTATGTCAAAATGTAGTTTACATTCACAAATCGAACGTGAAAGACGGACAATAACAACAACAACAATTGATCATCAAATAACGTCAGTTCTTAATCCAAGTGTTTTGTATATTAGAGGTCGAATAACTGATTATGGATGGATTAAATTTATTCATGAATATCTTAATTTAAGAAAAATACGCTTAAATAATTGTTTATTATTAACAGATAAAAGTTTACAATCAATTGGACAATGTTGTCATCGTCTAATTGAATTAGATTTAAATGGTTGTATCAATATAAGTGATGATGGCATTAGAGAACTAAAACATTTACTTCATATTAAATCTTTAGGATTAGCGCAAACATCAATTACTGATTTAGCTTTATATACAATTGGACAAGCGTCATTTAAACATATGCTACAAGAAATAAATGTTAGACAATGTCAACAAATAACAGATGATGGATTTACTTATTTATTAAAAAATTGTCCAAATTTACGAACCATTGGATTTTTACAATGTCCAAAATTAACGGAATTATCAAGACAAAGTTTAGGACCAAATACACATCAATTCTCTTATGTAGTATGGTCAATTCCTGTTTAAAAAAAATAACATGACTTTTTCAATATATTTATTTTTTTACACATCTTAGTCATCTAATTCAATAGTGGAAATGTATATAGTCGAACAAAATTGATAAACAGTCATTTAGAATGTTTCTTACCCATCCTCTTTCACACAGTCAATAAATGGTCTACAAAAAAATGGGAGTAGACAATTTTTATAAAGAACAGTCTCTCTATGCTATTCAATAATATTTTTCCGAATGAAAATTGGTTTGAATTAGTTGAATACAAACTGTTACGTTCATCATACGATTTGTATCGAATGAGATTCTACGATTATAATGTATCGTTACTCTACCGTTGTTCGCTCAAAAATTTAGTAAAAAAATACCTGGCTTCGCTTAGAATCACAGAACATATGAATAGCTTAATTCATTACAGTCTCCGCTGGCTTGGCTCAGCGTCGGGCTAGTCAACAATCGTACTGTATTCATTCATTTATCCTCAAGATGTTTATCGATAAATGAAAACTACCAAGTTTTTAAATATATGTTATTTTATTAGAAAACTTTAAAAGTTTATTTATATATTGTGTGTTTTTTTTAATTCAATAATGGAATATTATGTATTCTAAAGTCTTCTAATCTATTTTATGTCAATAGTTTACATTATTTGTTTACTTGATTTCTTTTCGTACAATTACAGTAATTTAGTCATTTGTCGTTTTTTATTTTAATTAATTGGATCAATCTCGTATTTTGTCTGGCCATTTGAGTTTACAATAGCAGATAACCAGTATTATCCCTTTTTTTAGATGAAAATAAATAGTTAACAAATAAAATGGTAAATGTAATTAAACACGGTGATGATTACGATATAGTTCACCAATCTATTTCATCTGTCGAACAAAACATTGATCATGAAAGTTTAGAACCATCTAATTACAATAAAATTGAAACATCATCTATAGTACTTGATAATACATTCATCTACAATGGTTTAACATATATTCCTGAAAAGAATGAATTGATATTAGGTTATACAACAGAGAATAATGAAAATTATTTGGAATTTCGTCGTATTGATAATGGTATTTTAATTCGCACCATTTTCTTAGAATTTGATCATGCAGGAAAAATTGAAGATTTAATATGGTGTGTTAGTCGAAATGAATTATTATTAATTAATACTGGTCATTTGATTGCGTATAATATTGATAATGAATTAATAACATCAAATATTTTAATTGATGTAGATAAAGCAACATGTCGTATTGGATGTAATTCAAAATTTATTTGTTGTGTTGATGGACGAGCATTAAAATTGTACGATATAAATAATTTTAAACTTATAAAAAATAGACGTTTAGATCATGTTGTTGAAGGTATAACGTTCGATGATGAATATTTTATTAGTGGTCATACAGGTAAACTAGAATTTTTAGATAAAACATTATTTAGTATTCGACGTTTTCCCATTGGTGGAACACGAATTTGTCGTTTTAATAAAAAATATTGGTTAATATGCGATGATTTTGATGATAGACTCTTGTGGTATACACTCGATAAACTTGTCCACACTGTGAATAATGTACATCAACCAAAAGGTATCGTTGTTATTAAATCACTTTCACGAATAATAATACAATGTAATGATCCAAATAGACTAATTATTTTTGATCCAAATATTTTTTAGAAATTGTCATTTTCTTCAATTGTGATATCAACCGGTTTTTTTTTTCTTCTTCTCCTATCAATGTCCCAGTTTTGAACGTTTTTCTTTTGAATTTTATTCGAAAATAGCTTTTGAATTTTTTTTTTTTTTTTGTTTAAGTGACTTTTGTATTTCCCAATAGTGTATGAATGAGTGAATGAATGAATGAATGAATATGGTAAAAAATTATATAGTTAATAAGTTCAATAAATTGAATCTAATGAAAACAATTGAAAATATCTGAAAGGATGTGTGATTGTTTCACATATATTTGTGATATTATAGAAAGATAAAGGAAATATCTATAAAATTGTAAAAATTTCTTTTTTGTCAAATTACGTCATGTTATGGGAATAATAATCGACAGAAATAATATTTACAAACTGTTCATGAAAAATGAGGATCTCAGTAAAAAAATACGTATGAGAAGAGAAAACACAAACTATTAGTATATATTTGACTCTAAAAGGTGTCGACTTTTGAGGTAAGCTCAAAGAGATCCCAGTGTATACGGTTACTTTCAGAATTCGTAGTACCTAAACGGACCCGAAAATTTTGCAACTGTGAACCGAACCAGACCCGAAACACATGAAAATATTTTCGTACACATCCGCAACGAAACATTTCTTTCCTATAGAAAAGTTATGTTAGTCAGATTGTTTTGAAATTTTTTCAAAAAAATGGTCAGTTTCCTTACGGTTTTTGTCATTTTTTTCCTTTTATGAGTGGAAAGTTTGGGTAGTTCAGGCAGTTTATTTTATATTGATCTGAGTTAGACCGAAACGAGTCAACTAAACGTGATCCGAACCCGATCCGAACGTGAGTTGACCCGACCCGAATCAATGTCTTTTACATTGACCCGAATTCGAGTCGACCCGTTTCGGTCTTTGGTACAAAAGCATGGGCGAATTGCATTTCATTATTGAACAAGAAGACGAACAACTATTTTAATAAAGATTTGTACAGATACAATTTTCAGTCTCGTACTCGATAACTTTGTCATAATACTCGAAAATACTAAAGTAGAAAAAAACAATATATGCTACCTTATCTACATCCGGGATAAATGAAAAATGACAACAAACCATGTCATTTTTCATTGAAATTTTACAAATAGAGAATCTGACATATTTCTATTATTCTAGAAAATATTTATTACATATGTTCAGAATATAAATATAAATGTGATATAGAATATTTATGTTATTGTCAATTATATAATCTAATACCGACATTTTTTGGGCGGATATAGTATGAACATATGAATCTCATACATGTAGAATTGGCTTTAATCTGAAGAAGATAATTTTCTGAAATAACTAAATAATCTTCATAATATACGTATACACCTTATCTGATTGGACGTGAATTTAAAAGATCACGGAAATAACATACTGTCAATCCTGGTTGACAAATTTTTAATAAAAATCAGGTAAAAGATCTCGGTAAAGGAAAATTTATGGCGAAATCATTGATTAGAATACGAGAAAAAATCTAATCAAGCTTATACTAAGATAAACATGCTTTAGATTTTTCAATACTTCTGAGTGCACATAAACTATCTTTATTCTCCCTCTAATTTATACTAGTTTTCCAGTAAATGTTCAGTTTCAATTATTTAATCAAAAAAATGAAAATAGATAGAGAAATACTGGAACATTCAGTCATTGTCAGTCATACCACGAACATTATATATCGTATAGGAGAAGAGAGACGATTTGTATCACACGTTGTTCATGACCATATGGTGAGGAATAAAATGCTTCATAATTACCATTTTGATCTTGTTTTATTTTCAACTGATAATCACATGTTGGATATTTCCTGTATTCAGAACATTTGTATGTAATTGATAAATAATTTTTAAATGAATCCGTACGCAATGTACAAATATTATGACTTTTAATGAATGATGAGATATTATCATTAGGAACAATTGTACAAATTACTAACCAACCATTGGTTTAAACTATTTTATTTGAAATAATATAAAGTAAAGAGCGCTAGTGTTACTAATTCGGCATTGCCATTATATAGTGAACATGAGGCTCGTAATATAGAAAGAAAACAGCATCGAAAATTTAACCAACCATTTCTGTGAGACATTTCAGTATTAAAAATGTAGGTAGTTATAAAGAATTTATAGACTGTCAAATGATGGAATATGTTTCCTTGATAACTGTATTATGCAACATGCACATGTTTAGTTACATTTGGACCAAGTTCCGAGATCTAAACCATGTTTTCTGATCATATAGACGAAACAACATATATTACATGCTTTTTATCGTAATCTTTTCCATACTTTTGGCATAAAAAGATTTATTTTTCGTAACCGAGATCGTTTGTATGTTTTTTTTTCAAAATTTTGTCAACCAGAATCAAAAGCATATTATTTCCGTGATCATTTCTCATTTTATCCTATCTGATTTATTTTATGTTCATAGAACCTAATGCAAATTAATGACATCTGTTTTCTTCGAAGAAAGTTTTAGAAATTGAACTTATACTTAAATCTTCGGATCGTATCAAGTGCCAAATATTATGATAATTAGAAAAAATAATGAGCATCGATAATTACATTTATTTAATTAGAAAAATATTATAAATTACAGAAGAACATGTACTATCGAAAAGAGATGAGAAAAAAATACAAACTTTTTTAAAGAGAAGAATATTAAAAAAATTTTTATTTGATTTCACTAGGTTTATGAAATAAAACGACGTACAATGTTAGAATTGAAAAAAAAAAGAGAAAGACGTAACTGAGTTAAACCATTAGATGATGAATGTTTTTTGTTAAACTATATAGTCAACGATTTTCTTTCAAAATTCAATCATGATTTAAACCAGTTATGGTTTCATCTAAATATTGAATGAAATTGAAAATTCTTTTTGGAGTTTTCACAACAAAAAATGTAAATATACTAGGATGAGATGAGAACATGAAACTAATGTAGAATAATATATGTAGATAATAATTTTTAATATTTTTTAACCCATAGATGGGAAACATGACAAATTCACGTCTTTGAAATTGGTATCCGGATCTAAGCCTATACCAAATATTGGCAAAAACTTTCGAAAACATCTAAAGAAAAAGAAAGAAAAAATTAAATAAATCATCTAGGAGAATTAGAAATAAATATTATGAGATTATTTAATATAAGAAAATCGATTTTTAAACTAATAAAAGATAAATTTTAGCCTACTTGATTCTTATTGTCGATGAATTATGAGGATTAAAATCAAGATTCCATACACAATAGTTTTTCTTTTTTTGTATAAAATCTGTAACAGATGGTGGTCGTCTTGATACACTATAATCTAGACTATCATTTCTATCATTTGATGATTGTCTGGCAATAGTCGACATTGATAAGTCTTGTTGTGATGATGATTTATCTTCTTTTGATGTTGAATTACCACTGGCAAATAAACTAAGTAATGACTAAAAATAAATTGACTTATTAAGGTTGATCATCATTTTAATATTAGAAAAGTAATACGTACTCTTGCCGATTTGAATGTTTCTCCTGATCGTCGATTTTTTCGTTTGTGATTATCATTGTCTTCTGAAATGTCACCTTTGGCACTTGATGGTCGTGCAAGCGGTAATTTTGGATTACTTTTATGTTTTTTTGATCGTAATGATTTAAATATATTTCCACTTTTAAAACGTGAGAGAGATGTTGTTGATCCAAATTGTTCTTTTTGTAGACTATGAGTTTGAGTCTGTTGAGGTAATTGTTCGTCGTCATCGTCTTCATGTTCGATAGTAAAATGTGATACGTCCATACTTTTGCTTGAAAATAATGGAGGATTAGATTGAATAGGAGGAGATGATATTTCATCATCGGTTAAACGATGAGATCGACGATAACGACGGGATACACTGGGAGCTGGTGCACTAGGTGGACGTGGTTCAATAAATGATGGCAATGAGTTTTGATGTTGTTTATTAGTATCAAAACCATTATCTGACTGATCACTTGATGAATCGGACATATTAATTTGACGATTGTTTTTATTTTCAAAATTTTCATTTATCTCATCTGTTGATTTGATTTCTATTTCAACTTCTTTTACTTTAATTATTTCTGTAAATGGAAATTCAAACTGAAATAATAAATCATACATTTAGTCAATATTGAACTATATAATTATATGAATAAACAATACCTGATTTTTTGAATTTCCATTTCGTCTAATATATCGTAAAAATTCTTTTCTTGTTGTATCACGTATTAGAACAAGATCGAGTAGTCCATCAGATAAATGTCCAAATTTTGATAAACCTTGTGGTGCAAAATCCCATAATGATGCATTTGTCAAAACTAAAACTTGTAAATATGGATTACGAATAATATTCCATTGTGGTGATGATATCATTTGTGACTGTATAAAATTATGTTTTGACGATGATTTTTTATGTTTTGAATTTGACAATGATCGATTTAAAATTGAATCATTATTTGCGTTATTCAACGATGTTAAGGATGGACGTTTTTTCATTACTTGTACAGAATTATCATCAAACGCTAATACTTGATCATTATAAGTATCATTTATGGATTGTGTACCACAAATCGAACATCTAGTCAGATTAATACAATTTGAATTTAAAAAGAATTTAATTTGATAACAACATACCCTCGATAACATCGAAATGATGAATTTTCATTTTCATCCGCTGGTATGTACCGAATTTCTACATCAATTGGCCTAAACAAAAAGTTAAACAATTGTCGATGTTACAATGATCATTAAGCCATTTAATATACTTTAAATTTTTATTTGATACTGCTTTTCCAAATGATTTTTGAATGACTTTTTTTTGTCCAAGAGATGTATAACGTGAAAAATATTTTAATACTGTTGCCGGAAATCCACAACCAGTATTCTAAAAATGATATGAAATAGAGTGAATAAAATACGCTATCATCGTATGAGTATACGCACCATATTGAAGGTAAGAAATGAATTATTATCATAAACAACTGATAAATCAATTTTTATTCGACGATCTAAAGATTATACTAGTCAAATGAAATATTAAAATAAAAAATATATTTTGCTATCTACTCACTGAATAATAAGTAGAATAACGGTGTCGTTTGATCAGTTCCACCGTGAATAGAATGACAAATTATGTTTGTTGTACCTACATGTAATAGATGATAAATAAATGAGAAAGTTATTAAATTTTGAAATTTTTATATATTACCATTAGGAATGATGCACAACGGAAATGGGAATGGTGGCGGTTCTTGATCAATATCTAATGGAATACGATTGACTTTTGATAAATAACGTGTGATTGCATTTAAAGTATCTATAACCGTTCCATCACCACCAATAATAACTAAACTAATAGATTAAACATTTTTCGAACATTTAACAGTTAGAATAAAAAAATTATTTCTCATTTTTATCTAATAAAAATATTAATAATAATACTAACCCATAAAGATTAGCAAAATCGCCTTCATATTGGTTAATTGCTTGCGTTGGCTTCAATGTATCATGAATTTCTAAACAATTTGAAGTATAGACTATTGTCGATAAAATATTGTCGACTGTTTTCACATACCCGTATAAGTAATGTTATATTGAGCTGCATCTAAAATTGGTTTTATTTTTGTATCATATACATTTCGACCATTTTTTGGTCCCGAGTACGGATTACAGAAAACAAGAATGTTACGTGGTGGATAAACTAATAAAAAAAGAAAAAGAAAACAAATTAAAAAAATGTAGATCATACGATAATATGTGATACACAACATACATGTGTGTACATATCTTTCTAGTATTTGAAACCATTTTTCAATTTGAACTGGAAGATTTGTTTGAAATACTACAATAATGTCTTGCAAAATATTTTTCTTTGCTTCTTCGTATGTATGCAACTGAAATCCAATTAATTGAACATTTTGCACAAATGGTGAGCTGGCAACAGTTACACCATTTCCACCAGCATTCGATGTTTCATTCAAACAATTGTAAACTAGAAAACAAACAGTTGTTGTTGTTTTTTCCATTTTTTGACTGAATTAGTTTTGTGATTTATGCTCAGCACTGATTATCAATATTTTGATGCATCAAGTCTCTACCGTACTTATCGCATAAATTATTATGACTCATTTCAAAATAAAATATACTTTGCTGTTTTTTTTAGAGTAATATTTGATGGACGAAAGATAGAATTCTGCGGATTTTATCAATTGATAGAGTAAATTGAGAACATGTTTTATGATTTAAAATTAAAACTGAGAAAACAGTGTGTTTTAATTTGTGAAGTTTTCTAGAGACAGATCGATTTGTAAAGATTTTTTAACTGCATAGGTAGTCGATAATAACAGGTAGATGAAATCGAGTATATACTAAAATTTTCAAACCACTTGGCTCAATTTTTAATATTTAACCTAAAATAAGTAACAATCATTTATTTCATCAGAATTAAATTTTTACGGGATTTTCACAATTTTTATAAAAAGAAATTATTGTCTCGAGTCTTCAGAACGGTCGATTATCTATTTATGTAAAATGTGTCAACAGATTTCTGTAAGAAATTGCACAGCTCGAGTGCAAACTGTTATAAAATATTGACAGATTCTTTGTAAATTTTTGCCGGTTCATTACACATTACAGTCTTAATGAAAATGTTTTCCAAATGTATGAAGAAATATTTTGTATATGTAAATATAATTGCAGATATTTCTTAAATTCTGCAAATAATCTATGCAGAATCTGTAGATATTCTAAAACAATTAGTGTGACAATTCTGTTGCACATTTGACTTCGATTTATTTTCTTGTAGAGACTTCCCCTGCTCATATTGTCAAAATCAGGAAGAAATGACTGATTAAGCTCAATTAATCAGCTAAAATTAATCGTGCACTTAATTGCGATCTTCAAGCAAAATTTTTAGCTGATTAATCGCACGCGAAAAATAAATTTCGATTAATTTATTTATTTTATCGATAAAGTTTGATTAAGCGCGATTTTTGCTGAAAGTGTAGTAATCATGGATTTTTTTAAAAATTACACAATTTTTTCTCAAAATTGCAATTAATCATCCAAGCAAACATCACGTATGAGAAAAATCTAGATACATTTCGTCTATAATCGGGCGATACACGACTAGTTGCCATCTAGATTACTAGTTGGAAAAGGGACTTTTAACTAGATGTGTCTGCATGTGCAACTAGCAATAGTTAAATCGATCGATTATCGGGCGATAAATCGATAGTTACAATTAGAAAAAATCTAGTAATCGCCCAATTACTAGATTTCCACTGTCGCTACACAGTATTTTTCCCATAAGTGATATTTGCTTGGGCACATGACTCTCACTATAGAGAGGCACTTTGATGCTATCTATCTACCATGTAAAAAAACCAATATATTGTTATTTGAACTTTTGGAAAATTCGACCAGATTTTTCAATGATCCTATTAGAGTCCTTACTTTGAAGATAATTTTTAAACTTTTTTTTATGAAAAATGTTCTCGATTTCCTCTATCGATTGGCAAAACTCATAGATCTCTAGTTTTTGTCTACCAAGTGTTATTCGAAAAGCAGCAAGATATTTTGTGTGTTTTGAACTGGATGATATTTTTGTTGTGCTCATTTGTCTCTTTTTTTTTTTTGTGTAAGTTATACCTGGTGTTACAGCGTAGACATTGTGTAAACTTAATGAATAAGATGAATGTTTCATTTTTTGATGACTTTTATAGGAACCAGGACGTGTTGCTTCTCCTTTTGAACCCACTAAAAGTGAAGAATTCAAAATATAACGTATTATTAAAAATAAAACTTGTAGAAAAACCTATTCCTACTTTCTCCATTTAAATTCGTCCATATTATAATATCACTTTTAAGTTCAACTTCCACGGTAGTATTCTGAAATGTAAAAAATGCTTTTTCATATAATGATTGTTGCTCTGGGTCTACTGATTGATTTAATTCTGTATCAAATTCGTGTAATTCATCTAGATTTTCAAATGCTTGTTTAACATTTGCTAAAGAGAAGAAAAACAATTAGAATTAGTCATTCGTTATATCAACAAAAACGAAACTACATTTTCTTTTCGAAACCTCAATAATTCAATCTTGTCAATAACTTTAAACATTTTCCGTTTAAAATTGTATGGTTTATAATAGTTTTGTATGATTATCTCAAACATAAGGCATAACAGAATTTTCTCTTAAGTTCATTCTTTTTTGACTTATTTTCACTTTATTCTCGTACCTGGCGTCGTACCAGGATGACGTTTTGCTCTGTTATACGACATTTTTCAATTAAATTGAATATTAATATTGTTGATTGAATGATGATGTAATCATTTGTTTCTTCGATGTCAATCAAGTGTGTCCAAAGAATAACAACGAGATATTTATACTCTCAACACAAAAAACATTGTGAAAGAAAGAAATCGAAATATTTATATAAAATGTGTATTGATTATTATTCAAATCAGAGTATGTTTTTCTTTTTAAACTAGAAAAGACTAATTCTTTGTTTTTTTTGCTTAACATTGACTTATACTTTTTTTATACGATTCTGTCTTGTTTTTGTTCAGTTCAAGTATTAGAAAGTGAAACGATTTCGTTATGACTCAACATTTTTCTCATACAGCTGACCGAGGAGAAAGATGGATTAAAGAACAACAATAAAAGAAAGAAGAATTACAGAAATCTTTGATTTTCTTCTTTCCTTTTCTATGTCCAGGTAATATAGAGATATTTTTTGTAGATGCTATAACTTCTTACTACCTTTATTGTTCAAAAAATCAAACCTACTGTACTTTTCAGACAATTGAACATAAATGAATTAAAAATTAATATTTTTATCTGCTTTTGAACTTTATCTATTCTTCATTTTAACTCCATATGCATGTTTTTCTTTATTATGCAAAAAAACTTGCTATATCAACTAAAATGGTTGATTATTAATGATCATGTAAAAGTATATGCTGAGCTGAACGAGAAAAGTTTCTTAGAAACAAATTTAACTAAATTTATTATTTGTACCCATTTTAACTTTTCTTATTCTCTTGACGAAAGTCAAGGTCTTACGAAATAAATAGTTTGTTTGTCTGTCCACATAGAAACGTATATGAAAAAATACAATGTTATTCAAAATTTTCGAAATTATTACTTTAAAAATACTAATCAAAGATTTTAGACGCTGTTTTTTACTTTTGTTGGACTGATATATCTCTGTATGCATATGAATGCAATAAAGCAATAGGCTAAAATCATAATAAACAGAGAAAGAATATGTATACGTAAGTTTAAACATAAAAGAAGTTATATAAACCATTGTAAAGAATACTTATATTGTCATAAAATAAAATCGTTGATACACATAACTTATAGTATGTCGTCGGGTATATAATCAGTAAATATTTTAGTGGATCTCAAAATTTGGTAAAAATTTTTTCCTATCAACAACAAAACATAAAATGTCAAGGAATCGAGTGAAATCATAGATGAACGTTGGCTGTTTTTATTTTGAATATAAAAAGAAAAAAATTGACGAAAAAAGAAAAGAACGATTAAATTTACCCGTACAATAGACGCACCATCATTGATAATGACTAAGAGAAACTGTAAAATGCAGTTTATAATGCTTTAAAAATAAAAATAAATTGTATGCCGAAGGACAACAAAAACAAGAAAAAAATGATACGAAATTGTAAATTTGATAAAGAGAGCAGATTAAAAAAAAACATTTAATTGAACTGACATGTTTTTACTATGATTTAACGTAGAAAAATTTATAATATAAATTAAATGAAGTGTGATGTAATTTTTTTTTTTTTGTTCTTATTATAATAAAAGGTTTATTCTTCTAATTTCTATATTTTCTATTAATTTTTACAAGTAGGAAATAGAAAAAAGTATGTTTTAAATTCAGAAATATTTTTGATGATTATATGATCAATCAGTTCATTGTTGTAGCATGATAAACATAAAATTTTGCTATATATGGGTGAATGATAAAAAGTGGTTGATTCTATGTCAGCTTTTATTGATTAATATAGTGCGTCTACAGTGTTTGACAAGAGTTATGAGTTTTTCTAAGTTATCAAACGAACAATTTACGTTGATGATTTACTCAAACTGGTAACACAGGTTGAAATAGATCTTGTGTTGATTTAACACATTGTTGGTTTGTACAACTAACTGTTGGTGGTATAGCTATCGAACATATTGATATTATATGCGTTTGTTGATTATATTGTTGTTCTAGTGTCTCAGTTTGTTTAGCCAATTGTATGATTGTTGTGACTTGCTTATTTAAATGAGAAAGTATCAAATATCCATTTGGACCTCCACACGCTCGTGCACCAGTTGGTTGAACGAAGCAGTCGCTAGACGATTGACATGAAAGATCTGTATTTAACAATTGAATTTGATTGTAAACCGCTTGTAGTTGCTCGCCGGTTGTCTTTTTACTAAAACTACCGTAAATTAACGAGAATAAAACTAAAATGATATAAAAGATAATGCGATTTATCAATCTGTAGGTCATTTTGAACATATCAATTATACTGGTTACCTAAAATTATTGCAAAATACACTTTTTTAAACATATCTGATCTTGTTACTCTTTTTCGTTAAAAGATTATCGTTATACGTTTCTGTGTTGATAAACACAATAGTTCGTTATTATTATGCCACTTCGATATTAAATACAATATGTATACAATATACACATATACAAAGAGAAAAAAGGACAGGTGGCTTTTTTTGTATTGTAAGATATCCAGGTATGTCTTCTGAGAGACGATTGATTGTGAAATAAAGCGTAGGCTTGGTAAACATTTATTGTAATTTAATGCCGTTTACCAACAAAGTTTCTTGCTAATTGAAATATCATAGCTAGAGTACGGCATCGGTTGGACTTTTCAAACTCGAATCGAGCTGAGGGAGTGAACCCAATCCGACACTCGACAATTAGTTAACAGCTTGAGCATTTTGGGCGGGAAAAGTCATAAAAAGGTTTGTAGAATTAATGCTGACTCTTTTTTCGAAAAGAGCACTTGGAAAAATGATCCATTCAAGGGTTGGATACTTCATTAGAAAACAGAAAAGCGTCATTGAAGAAAATTTCAAACCCGACAGCTGTTGTACTCAAATCATAACTCGACCTTGGATCGCATTGCAGATCTCTAATCATAGCTGATCGAACTTTCATTCTTAAGACCATTACGTACATTAGGAACGGGTGTTTTACTGACCATTCAATATGAAGAATATTAAATATTTTAAATATGCCGTAGTAAATTTGAAAAAACTCAATTGGATAAAAGTATAGTTTATCTATAAATTGAGCGTCAAAACTTGATGGCACTTTTTGATATTTTGGCAATATATAACATTAGCTATCGGACGTGAATAGATACGTTGTGATTTGATATGTATTCCTTTGTACAAGTGAGAAGACAGAGATTATCTTTACTCTTTCAATTGTATGGAGATAATTAACTCAAATCCTCACTCAAGAAAAGGCAGCGGCCAAACGGGGATACAGAACGAAAAAAACACTACAGGTATAAAGAGAGGCAAATAGAGCGTGACTGTCATACACTGTTACAATCTGCTCATCGATGTTTTACCAACAATGTACTGATTACTGTGAACAAGAATCGAGGACAAGAAGGAGGACAACAGTGCGGCAGAATGAATTGAATTTGAAGAATAATCGCGAAGAGAATTATGTAAAAATCTTGATATTTGTGTAATTGGAATGGTGATAGTTTGGAATCATAACCAGATGGAGCAGCTTGTTCGGTTCTCATAAAGAACGTATTTATGCCAAATACATGTTAGTTGTTATTCTTTGTCTACAGTAAAAGCAATGTATAAGACTGTTATTCTCGTCGTTCTCGTTCTTGTCGTTGGTGTTACGGGTGCTTCGTATTCGTCCAACATTCGTTCACAGAACATTCAGCGTATCACTCCTAGTCTTTATCATAATAATGGTGATAATGATCTTTGTCTAACATGCATTAATGAAGCCGTTGAAGCAATCAATGTCTTGCTCAATTTAATCCTTGACGAGGGTATTGTGAGTAGTTGTGATGACTTATGTGGCGCTCTCGCCAACAGAACATCAAAGGCAATTGGTGTGGTTTGTGATTTGGTTTGCGACGCTTTTGGTATTGATGAATTCATCAAATTGATTATAAAGGTTGATATTGATCCAATTTGGTATTGTGAAATTGCAAAGATGTGTCCGAGTAAGAGAAAATTTTCTTGTTTATTTTCTTTAAATTGAAAACTTGTATCTATAGTCAATGACCAGGGTGACGCCAAATTTACCGACTTCAAGATTGCACCAAACACTGGTAAACGTGGTACTACATTTGTTATTGACTGTTCCTTTACATCCAAGAATGGAACGGGCACTAGTATGCTTCGCATTGAATTTGTTGATCCCGAGAAGCAAGTGTCGGGCAATGATTTCTTGATCGAAGCGAAAAAACCTGGCACATACACGGAGAAAATTGGTATTAAAAGTGAAGGTTTTGCAGTTGGTACCTACAATCTCACAGCGCAAATTTGTAATGGAGAATGTGGATCGCAACATCCCCATTCGGCCATCTATGATACAGGCAATAGCTTGTTTGTGGTTACCAAATAAGTGAATGTGTATTTCATCTCTCTCCGTTACTATTATTTGTGTAATTTCATGTATTTATGATAGAGACAAGTGTATACCTTACATTACACTCAATATAAAATTAGGCTCATGTATAAAAGATACTTTGCTTGCTGATGTTTCGATTTTAGTCAATATTTACCTGTTAGAGATATAGAACTTTGAAATTTAATTTTTTTGTTAGTTTGCCACTATGATACATTTTTCTCCAATAACTTTCTCAGTCATATGCGCCTCTAATAGTCAAACAAAGAACATGTTTCAATCGCTCATCGCCCAGAACTCATTTACCCGAAAATGGGCTATATGTGAACAGCACTAAACTTAGGTTTGAAACTAATTTTTTCTCGCTTAGTTGTTACCTAAAAATACAATTTTTTAAATATAGAATTTCTTTATACGATGATCGACATATAAACACAAAAAGGAACGCTTGTATAGTAAAATATCTGAAAAGATCCTAAACAATTGCTGATCATTATTTTTCTTGTAAATACGTCGCAAGTATATCAGTTTGATTGTTAAATATTCCAGAAAAAACGTTATTCAAAGCAATTTCAAACGCAAGATAATTCCATACATCCTTTATAGTCAGACTCCGACGACATGTGCAGTTAAAAATCGCATGCTTGGCAAAACAGACTATTTAAAAGCCTGGCTCGAGATTGCTTCATTATGGGACTAATAATTCCACGTCTGCAACTTTTCGAAGACTGTGATATAGGATAAGAGTTCTAGACGCTAGAACCTATACTTTTTTCGGGCTAGTCCCGATTGCGTCATGCTCTACTTGCAAGTGAGAGAAACTCTTTGACAATTTCAAAAGTCAACACAAGACACATCTTTTTGTTCACTTTCTTTCATAATTCGTCGATGATGAAACGAATGTGTCGGGTTGTTTCTAGTGGCAATAATATAACAGTAGTGTGAGAGCAAATAATATAAGCACCATCTGTTTTTTAATGTGTGGGACTCAAATTCATTGAAAGGAAATTTCAATTAGAGAATTGTCAGTACTTCGGTACCGATACTGTTTTCGTGCAGTACCGAAAATTTCTGTTCGGTACCCTGTTAGCTATCCAATCGTTCAGTACTTTCGGTTCGGTACCAGCGGAAGTACCGAAAAGTTCGATACCTACGAAAAAAATTAAGAGACGAGAGTCTTCGCGATTTAAAGAGGAAAAAGCTTCTTGTGAGTTCAAAAATAGATTTAGATAATGAAAAAACTTCAGTACTTTCGGTACGGTTCCAATAGTTGGTACCGAACGCTCGGTACCAAGGCCACACAACTACTGGTACCGACAATTACCTAATTTCAATTATAAGCCGAAATTATGATATATTCTGTTTCAAGTGGTCATATTTTTCGGACAATTAGCCCTTAATAAACGTCGCTCATGGCGCTATATTGAGTCCCACACATTTGAGATTGATTACACTTTTTCATGCAACTGAATTTTGTCAGTTCTCATAGTATTAGTTGTGAAAGTTTACTTGTGATGCTGTACTTAAATAATCAATGAGGCTTATTAGCCGAAAGATCTTTGATTACACTATCATTGTCGTTAAGCAAAATTTTTCTATCATCATATGGGTAATTAACAAGTCTTATCATCATATCGAATTAAGCAGCTGTCTCACGCGATAGTTTTAATGCTAGTTTATTATTTGCTTGTTTTCAATAACCAACTTTTACGTTTGGGAGGTATTACTTCATTTTACGAAAATTAATGGTTTTTTACTCGATACTCTAGCTTCATGTAATAGACGTGTTACATACTGAAAACTATCTGCGTAACGTCAAATAGATTTTGATAAAATATAGGATTTAAGGTTGCTCTTTCTTTTGGCTAACTAAGAAAAATTTTAAATGTCATAGTTTTTGGCCCATCGATCGGGAATAAAAAAAATTCTAGAAATATTCTCAGTTTTCAAAATATTTCACATCAGATATTGTTCTCAAAAATATATAGGCTACATTTTACAAAAACGAAAATTAAATCAACTCCATTTTTAGATCCTGAATTATATTTTAAAATTTTAAAATCCAATATTTTTTAATTGTGTGGCCTAGATCAAATATTTTGGATAAAGCTATTCGATAAGGCTTGAAAAAATTGAATAAACTTGAAGATTTGACCTTAGAATTGAGAAAAAAGTAGCTTATCTAGACACATTGAGGAAATAATTTACTCAAAAATTGTTTCCGAACTCGTTTTCAGTATTTTTTAGACTTCACAGGTGAGATAGAATATGATATCTAATGTTAAATGTCAAATTCAAGACTTCAAAAAGGATTTGAGACTAGTTTTTAGCTGTCTTTCGGACAGCTTTTTGCTGCTGATTTTAAGCATTTTTCTCCTACATCATTGATATTTTTCGAGTCGATGTCTCTGGTTGTAAAAATACAAAAAGTATCTAAGATGTTTTTCAAGATGTATTCGTTTATTGACGTGATTGTGATAATGCCCGAGATCATTTATTTTTTTATGAAAACTGCTTAAAGTCAGCATGTTTCAGAATTTTATTCATGAATACGCATTATATATGCTATTCTTTGTTGAAAAATAGACATTTTAAGCTATTAAACTATATAACTTATATTAGTTCAAAGTATTCAAAATCAAATATTCTCAAATAAATTGCCCATTTTGTCATACGCATTTGTACACTTTTGTTATTCTTTTTTATCTACTCGTATTTGTCCAAAAATAAACATGATTACTATACTCATTGCTTTGAGCGTTATAGTTAAATATTTTCTATCAGTGCCTCTTATACGACCAATGCAATAGTGATAAATATTTTCATTCTAATTCATTATATCAAAAAGTTTATGCATCTAAATGGAAATGTTGAAAGTTTTTAAGAAATAAGTTTAAACACATTTATCCATACATATCCACTCATACATAGTCATTAATAGGAAACAATTCATTTTGTACAAAGAAAGATATTGTTTTCCATTTCATAGGACAAAGACAAGAAAAAAAAAACTCAGAGCTCACGAAGAATTGTGTGCATGTGAAAACAGTAAATTGAAAAAAACAAACAAAACAAGCGAGGAGAAAACACTCAACATAAAGAAAATAGACAAAAAATGGCTAAGGTCCGGCGCTCATTTTTTTGTTTGATACAATACATTCTTCGTTTCACCAGCATACAAACACACGCAATATACAGCGTATTTAAACAATCAACGCAAAAAAGAGATTAACATACATAGAATAGGAATATAATCTATATGTTAAAATGGTCCATTAGGATTGATTGTCATTGCAATTTGTTGTGGTCCGCTTTGGAATGTCATTGGCGGATTGGTGGCTAGAAAAGATAATCCAGACATAGAAGCTAAAAATAAAAACAAAAAGAGCTTAGTTATTATGATTGTAAGAAGACATATTAAAAAAACGTACGACGTGTAAAATTTAACATTTGAGGCGCACGCATAGCCATTGTTTGCATTTGAAGAGTAGGAAATAACATTGGTTTATATTTTGGCAAACTTGCACGATATTCTTCCTGAAAACAGTCAGAAGTATGAAAAAAGTTAATATAGACATTGTTCAAATAATATTACCAATGAAATGTCTTCATCTGGATGAATTATCTTGGTATTTCCACCAGCTGAATCAATTTTTGTTTTTGTCATTGTGGCGCCGGGTAACGATGATGATCCATAAGCTGAAAATCCTGCTGAAACATTCGATGTAATACTGGTATTTGGCGATGTGATAGATTGAGGATTTGAGGTTAGGGAAGACGTTGGTGATTGAGATCTCGTTGCTTCATTTGTCGAAGACTAAAAACAATAAGAATATTCAACTCAATTCGAAAAAGCAAAGTTGACTGTCTTACATCGACGTTCACTCCTGATGGGAACAATGGTTTTGCAGATGCCATTATAGTGGGAGAAGCATTGACAATCGATGTTAAGGTAGGTGTCGGCACTTGTGAGACAATGGTAGCCTGTTGAGTTTGTTGTTGTGGTATTATAGGTGGTCTAATATGAGCCATCATCGATACCGGCATCATGGGTGCCATTACAGAAGGTGGCATTGGTCCAAGTCCAAAGGGCATTCCCTGAAACATTGGCATCATTGGAGCTTGCATCATACTCATTTGAGCAGGATTCATTGTAGGGATCATTGAGGCTGGGTTCATTTTTAGATTACTACCATTTGTATCATCTTTTTCTAAACATAAATTAGTAATGAGTAGTATTTTAAAACAATAATTCAATGTTGTTTTACCTTTTCCAGCTCGCTGTTTATCATGTTCTCTGATATCTTCTTCTGGGATTCCTTCCATTCCGTAGATTTCAATTTCAATATTGTCTCGCCCTTTGATTGCATTGGGCACTTTATCAATATTTTCTTTGTGTACCTAAAACATAGAACTAATTAATAGCTGGCCTAATAATACGGAAAAGACGACAGCTAACTTACTTGCATACAATGAATTTGTAGACCTGGACCAGTATATAGCTTCTTATGACATATATGACATTTAAAATGTTTTGCTTTTTGATGTTGTAAAAGGATCTTTTCATCATCAAATTCACGATTACAATACCAACACCACGGTTTCGTCTGCTTCTTCTTCTTTCTACCCATTGTATTTGTTTCTTATAAAATACAATTTAAATCTATAAGGATAAAAAAATTGACACACTACTCCCAATATTTCAAACGAAAAGACATTCATAGAAATTCAACAACAAGCAAATCCTTGTGATTCTTTTATATTTAAATCAGTATAGCGCTCTTATAAAACTACATACGTAACATTTTAACCCATCTTTATAATCTGCCTTGTCTTACTTGATTGTGGAGTATTTTACTTTTATTCTCTTTGATTATTATACAGAGAACAGCAAAAGGAGTGTTTAATGAAAACATTCCGCTATAGAAGTTTGAAAAAAGTAGTTGAATAATGTTGATTTTTCTAAAATACTACAGAAGAGACAAATTCATCGAAATAAAAATTGAGCACGTTGAAAATAAAAATAAATAAATAAGCAAGAAAAACTCTAATTTATAAATATTACAATGACCAAAAAAAAAGGTAATTGAAATCATGACTAATATAGGCATAAAACGAGATGAGATGAATGTTTTCGAACTATTTTTTTTCAGAATAAATTAATATAAAAATTATACAGCATATTAGTCTAATTTTTTTTTCATCAAATTAGCAAGAATATTATTAGTAACGAAACCTGAAGTCTTTTTCACATAATTCTTTGTAGTGGATCCTTCAACTGTTCTAAATCATGTTCAATAATCATTATTTCATTCTTCAATGCATTAAATCTTTGCATATCAAAATTCTTTTTTCTCAAAAGACGATGCAATAGTCTCAAATATAAATAATCCGCTAAATTCATATATTCATAATTTTGACGTCTCAATACATAATACGAATAAGAAATAAACACAGTCGAATAAGTGATAAAATAGGTTATCGGTTCCATAATATCTAACAAAAAACGATGATGAATCTGAAAAGAGAAGAGATCATACACATCATACACTTACCCCAACTATAATCAATCCATACAAGTCGAAATAAGATACCAGTTTGAAAACTCAAAAAGGCTAAACCACTCCAGGAAAGCCTAGAAAAAAATGTTGTTAGGTTAACTAATGAATCAACTTCAGAAGAAAAAAACGAACATCTACAACTCAACGAATAACTTCAATCAGTAAATAATACTATACTATTAATGAAATAATTTACCATTTTAATTGTTTTATAGCTTTCATGGCTAATTCATGGTGAACCAATTGGAACGGTTGAATAGTATCATTTAAAAAAGTTAATTGTTTTTCTAATTCTTTCTCACGTCTCAGAGCATAATGATTAATTCCAAGGTCATGATATAAACGTGTGATGGAATTTGATACATCAGATAAAAGTGTTTTAACAGGTTTTTCTACCGAAAATAAATACGGTGGTTGAACATCGTACGTTGTTTCGTTAATTTTTAATTGAAATTCTTGTTCAAATATAACTTCGATCGGTGTATTTCGAGATAATCGTGAACCATCAGATAAATGAATTGCGGCACGATCAATTCCACGATCTTCTTGTTGTAATACATTCAAAAAATCACCAACACTTGCATGAAATGGTTTTACCTAAATAAGGATAAGAACAAAAAATGAAAATATAACTGAAATTTTCAAAACAGACTCACCTGAAATACGCATGTTTCTCCTCTTGATGGTAATGGAACGAATATATGAACAATACCATCTTTTACATCCACAGAAACACTATTGGATGCTGATGTATTTGTGGTACCACTTGTCTTTAAAAATCGATTAAAATAGCTTAGTTTATTCTGCCGACAATAGAAGAAGAGTGTACGTGTGAAGAGACTCATGAGATTTGACTATCACGACAATAACAATATCTACATGATTATCTAAAAAATAAATAATTGAACAGAGACTACGAGGGAGTCGTTACATCGTTAATAATGGACATAAAAGAAGAAATAAAAGTTAAAATACGTTGATGATAGTATATAGAAAATACATCATCATACTAGTCTTGCATTTTTTCTGTCGGAGGCATTATAATTGATGTCTTGTCCATTTAACACTCTTCGAGATAAAAAAAAGTAGAATACAAGTGTAAGAGACAGCCCTTATAAGCAGCTATTACAACGTAAGAAAAAAGATATACTGTCCAAATATGTAGATACCAGATGTTGATGATCTTTAGTGACCACATCATTTCATGTCAAAAAAAAAGAACTTCGAAGAGACATTGCAAAACTTTGAATATTTTTATCATAATGCATTTTTATAAAAAATTTGACTAAAACGAGTATGCTACTTTATAAAATGTGAACATTGTTAATAATTGGACGGTTTGAAAATGGCGCTAAAATTACACATTTATACTTGTATTCATACTCTCATTACTAAACATAATTTTAGAAACTCCTTGTTAGTAGTTTCAATCATGTCTTTATATACACTTCAAATTCTTCGTATCTGCATAAAAAGAGAATATAATCACAGATAATAACGATAATAAAAAACTAGTAAATCAATTAACTGACGCCACAATCTGTATCACCTTCCTTTTTCATATTTAATTTTGTTAATTCATCTTTAACTTGTTTTTCCAATTGTAAAATTTCTTGTGGTTTTTTGTAATTAATAATTAACGTATTATTTGCATGTGTGAATGATAAATTTGACTCATCAATGGGTAAATGACATCGATCGAGATCACATATAGAAAAGCGTTTGAAATATCTATAGACAAAGCGAATAATAATGCTCTGGTTAGAGAGGAAAAAAAGAGAGAACGTTACTTTTTATTTGTTGTTCTCAAAACAATTTCATGTTTATCTTTATCAACAGAGAGTTGATATGTCTCAAGTGAATACGGAAGATTTCGAATACGAAATTCAAATTTGTCATCTTTGTCATTACGAGAAAATGTCGGCTAAAATCAAAGATGAGATAAAATAAACGTATGAATTAAGATACCACAACACTTACTGCGGCATTACTTTCAATCAAGCCACTTTGATCCAACGGCCCTTTTGGTGCAAGATTTTGTCCGACTTCAAACTGCCAGTCCTCAACATTTTCGACTGTTTTCAAACCGATTCCAGATGATTTACGACGCCATTTACGCACTAACATGAAAAACAACTTGCCAAGTCTTCATCAAAGAAAGGTATTAAGGAGCAGTTACACATATAAGACTACATCCTTAGTTTTTCAAAACAATGTAATTATACGATCTAAACTGACAGACATAAGCAGAAGAAAATCAGACGTTACCTAACAAAACATTTGTCTTCAAATCATATTCTTCCACCATTTCAGACTGATCTTCAAATGTATAGTGTACTTTTTTCCGGTCTAAAAAAATGACACAAACTATTGAACTGCAGTAGAAGAAAATAATACACATACCGTTTTGAACGAAACTGGCCTTTTTTGCAGACTTTAGTTTCTCAATCCAACTATTCATTTGATAATCGCGAAGAAGGAAAGCACAGTAAGACTAGACTCTATCTAAACAGAGGTAAATTGATAGATAAAAATACATCAATTTTCTCAATTAACATGAAGGCTTATGATAACAGAAACAAACTTCAATTGGCAACCAGCAAAGTATAAGCAATAGTTTCTTGCCGTTTTCGCAAGAAAACCACAGTTGATGATGAAGCTCCGCAGCAACGATATAATATAATTCGTTTACCACACTCTTCAACGCCTTGGTTCACAAATCCAATATCTACCCATTTCAACCTATACCGACTAATGCAGTTCTGCTGACACCATTAAGATAATTTACCGATAAAGTGTTTTTTTTGAAAACCACTGAACCATTACCAAGAAAGAAGAATGTAAAATTTCACTTCGGATTTTAACGAAGCTAAGAAATACCCCTCAACTTTCACTCGCAACTATGTTTTTCCACATTATACACATAGAATTGGACAAACGTTTTTATTCCCATAACTTTAGCCTAGGGTATTACAAAATGGTTGTCTGTGTGTCTGTGTGTGTGTGTGTGTGTATCTCTGTATGTGTGTGTGCGTAAAATATGGAAATATGGCTGTCAGATACTCTATGGATAAGCCAATCACAAGAGAAAAATAGAAAAATAGAAAGTTATTTTTTACACCAGAGGGAACATATTCAAGAAGATGACTGAAATAATATTTACTGATGCAGAGAGAAAAAAGCCATGCAAGCTTTTTCTCTAGTTGGGGGACAGATGTCGCCGGAAAGCATTCGGTTTCGATAACATTAAAAAGTCATCGACGAATAAGAAAAGCCAAAATATAGATAATTTATCATGGTGAATCCATCGGAAATACTTACAGTTTCTGTGGTCACCGATTAACAGAATCCAGCCACTTAAGGCACATAGCAGAATTCATCATAGAGGTTCAAGTAAAATGGCAAAGAGAGGCATGATTGGAAGAAAAGAGGAATATTACTATAACAACTAACCTTAAGATATTCTAAGGATTTTTCCGTAGAATTCGTGGATACGAATAATTCGTATAATTAATGGAAACGAATTAAATTGCACCGTTTAAGAGATATGAATCATGACGAATTAAAGGATGTGAGTCATATATGAATAAGATAGACTGAAAATACGTAAAATTGAGAAGGAAATAGTGTTTTAAGAATGAGATGTGCACTTTTCATATCTACCGTGTGTTCACTAGCTGACAGCAGTGCACCGCGGCTATGATATTTCTTGTGTTTCTGATTGCAAAACTCGGCTGAAAGTAATTTAATAAGATCAGGGATATGCGGAAAAGTGATAGTTGCTCATGGGATATGCATTATGAAATAGAAGATTCTGCTTCTCTTTTCAGATTGCTATCTATTTAGACTGTCACACACTTCGTTGCTCAGCTAAAACAAATAATGGCCCGCACCGAGAAACTTATTTGTTTTAGCTGAGCAACGAAGTGTCTTTGATAATAGAGAATCGATTTCAGTTTTATTTTTCAGAAAATGCTTGATCTGCCTTTTCTGTTCTCGCTTTTAACTTCTGGAGTTCTCTTCCTCCTGTAGAATTTCTTTTATGACTACATCAAGTTCTACTTCTGGCACTTTGCCAGATGATATTTTTAGTTTAAAACCTGATCAATTTCTAGTGTGTTTGTGGAGCAAGAATATGGAGAATATATTAGAAAAATTTTACAATTTCAACTTCTCGATGCAGTAAACGACGTTTAGGCAATAAGTGTAGACGTTCTCAGTATATTCTCTACGAGTCAAAAAATCCAATGATCAATGATCAGTGATATTCAAAAACAATAGACGATATCGGAGCGAGTGGCTCTGAAATAGAAAACTCCAGTTCAGAAGATTCAGAAGACGAAGAAGATTTAGTGGATAATTGGGACAATGCAACAGATGATCAAGGTCGCTATATTAGGTTTTTACACACCGGCCGAAGTCGCGGTTCGAGCGGCTTTTTTTCTTGATGTTATCGCCGGTATGTGTTCGTTTTCCGTCCTTTTCTCTTCATTCTACATTTGTTTCTATGGCTCTGAGCGCGGTTGCCTGATGTTATATCTGACTGATGTTATATCTTACCGATCTAAGTGTTTTAAGTAAGAAACAGATGTGGAAGATGACCAGGGATAACAGTTCCAAAGCAAGAAAATCAGAAAGATCTCAGAAAAAGAAGCTCAGAATCAGAAAATCAATAGACCTTTGAAGAAAAAAGGGCAGAAATGAGGCAGAAAAAGTTCCAAAAATCAGAAGATCTGGGATCCCTGGCAATTACTATCCTGGCGACACACTTGATACGACATCTTCCTGGCGACAAAAAATAGATAAAAATGTGGTTCCGGTATCGCGGCTTGCTGATACAAACCGCCCTGTCCAGTCAGATGAAGTACGCGACAGCATCGAACCGCAGTTTTAATAACGGAAATCTCGGTCTCGAAATCATTGAAAAGCGTGGTGAAAATAAACCGAAGTTTCAAACCTCAAACATCGTATTTTAAGAAATTGGTACGCTGAGCCGTATTCATAGACAGACGTTTAGACCGAGGTCTATAAAACCGTAAAAAAGCGCGGTTTCAGATACCGCAATTTATTCTCACTAAACTACATCCCTTTGAAACCGCGGTTTTTCCCGGTGACGCCATCGCAACTCGATGCGATCAAAACGCGGCTTCTCAAAACGGTGGTTTTCATCGGTTTTTCAAATCGCAGTTTGGATCCAAGAAATCGCGGTTTGTCCTTACCTAATATAAATGCCCTAGGCTTAAAATGTCTTACGTCAATTTGACCAAATGTACTTTACTTGCACTATTTTTATGAAAATCTGCATTAGAGATGTTGCTTTGGTAAATAAGACTAAAAGATCATCACGGTTCTTTTAACCGTTTAATTTAATTAAACGCTATACTAGACAACATAGGCCATCAACAACTTTTATTCTGCAGATAGATAAAGTGCACAGAAAAATCGATTTACTCGCAGTTGATCCATGTCTTTACTGATTAGATACTCATCAGAGCTCCTATTGGTCCGCTCGGCTCGGATCAGGCGGGGCGAACCGTCCCAGAAAATTGTTCAGGTTGAACAGGCCAACATTTTTTTCGGACCAGTCTGGCCAGAGAAATTTTAAAAGTTTTGTCCATATTTTCAGTTGAATTTGGCTATTTCCTAGTAACAGTAGATGTTACTACACTGTAAAAAATAGTCGTAGATTAATAAACTATTGGTCTCAATAAACCCTTTTTGATAGTTTATTAATCTACGACTATTTTTTACAGTGTATTATCTATTGAATTCTGTTGTCAATAAAACGCTTCTGTTTTCTTAATTAACTGATATTGCTGCTGAAATAATGCGTAGAAAAGCTTTTTCTGCGTTTTTCGCTATAATAAAGTTGAATTTAGTCTAAAAAAAATATACAGTGGGGCTCGAGTCGGGCCAACCGATTAGCATGATAGGTCTGGTAGGCTTCGACCTTTTCTGAGCCGGGTCGAGCCATCAAATATTGGCCCGATTTTAGAGCTCTGGTACTCACTAAAAAAATTTAACAAGTATCGGAAGCATTAACTGAAAACTATTTTCTGAGCCACTTCTTTTTTAAAGGATTTCCATAATCGAAATCGGTGATCCCGGTGTACATAACGTTCAATAAGTACAAGTTTTATACCATATTTGTCGCATTGATATTGGTAAAAAAGAACCATGTATAAATAGATATAATCTATAGATCGATGGTTTTCATTCTGTGCAATTTATTAATCGGACAGTTTCTAGTGCACAGTATACTGGATTCCATCCTATGTCTGTTTTTCTTTCTCAAACTTGAACAATCATCTTTCAGTAATTGTCAAAACACTTCATTTCGAAAGTCTGATGCAAAATGGCTAGCATATCGTCCAGAACAAAATAGAAAACTTGAAGTTTACTCAAGTTTACATTGTTTACAGATCAGAGAGTTTTTATTAAGATTTTGATTTTGTATTAAATACCGCGAACATTATAAAATAGACAAACGTCGACGTCAATGAGGTTTAATTCTAACATAAAACAACGACCATAAAAAGAAGTTTATCGAATTGCCAACTTTCTCATTGACAATAGATATATAATGAAAAACAAGACGTATCTAAACTTCAATAGTAAATAAATTATTTCTGATTTTGAAAAGAAAAATAAATATGTATGGAAAACCAGCCAAATATTTTCTATAGTGCACCTCAGCGGTTATTGATCAATACAACTAAAAGTTCTTTACCACTTCATTCATTTTATCAAGAAAAATATTGGCATGTTTTTCGGTAAATATCAGTGCCGGACGAAAACGGATACTAACATCACCGCATGGACCAATCATAACCGCTAAAGGAAAATAAAAACAATCTTGATACTATTAAAAGGATGTCAACTACAAAATGTCCATGTTCAATCTAACCTGCATTTCTCATTTTTGTTGTGAATTTGTCTCTTACAGATGAATTTTTCATATCAAATGCGCAGAAAGTTCCCAAACCACGGGTATTTAAAATTAAATTTGGATATTTTTTACTTAAATCTTTAAGACCATTCAATAACACGTCGCCTAAAAAATAAATTTTTATATATAAAAGAGCACATTGACAGTTCTAACGATAATACCAACCTGTTTTTCTAGTATTTTCAATTAAATTTTCATTCTTAACGGTTTTTAATATGGCATCTAGTACAAGTAATTTACTTGGTTCTCCCATCCATGTATTAAATATTCTGTATGGCTAAAAAAATGAAATTTGTCTAAGCTACCCAAACGTCTATAAGAAGAAAAACCTAATGTATCTACCTGTTTTGGATTAAACTCTTTTTTAGCAAAATAACCACCGGTCTGAAATTTTTTTGAAAATGTAACTAGATCGGGTGATTCAGGTAAAGAAAAATGTTCGTGTGCCCAAAATTTGCCAGTTGCTCCTAGACCAGTTTGAACTTCATCAATAAGCAATGCCGCACCATTCTTAAATAAAATATAAATAATTTGATTATTAATTATTTACTAACACTAGATACGTCTATCTTAGTTTCGAATAACTTACTTTTTTTATTATTCGTTGTAAATTTTGAAAGAATTCTTTTGATCCATGATAATCCCCCCCTTCTGATTGAACAGGCTCAACAATCGCACCTACAACCGGTTTATTATTTTTATTATATTCATGAAATAATTCTTCAATCTAAAATATTCAAATTATTAAAAAGACAATAGACATACAGTCATCTCTATCTACCCTAGCTAAACATCGTTCATCTTCTTTCTTATTCTCTCTCTCATTCTCTTCTAACGGATATTTATAACGTGGAAATGGAGCTATTGGCCAATCAAATGTTGGAATGTCTAATTTATGAATTGCTTTAGAATGTGTGCCTAAAACAGTAGTGATTCATATAAAAAGCACAAATTTAGATGATGAAGAAATAAAATTCTGTACCTACAGGCTAAAGCTCCTAAAAGGAAAAAAAGACATAAAAAAATGTGACAAAAATCAGAAGTTCTTAAAATATACCAATTGTTCGTCCATGAAAACCGCCTTCAAATGACATCAACGTTACATTGGGCGATCCAGGTGCTTTATTGAGTAATGTACTTTGTAATTCTTCTTCCGTATGTGGTTTACCGTTACGTTGTTTTTCAGCATACCATATACAAATTGCTTTAAATGCATTTTCATTTGAACAGGAACCACACATCATAGGTTGAATATGATCCATACCCTTTGGTGCAATCTTTAAGAGAGAATATTACAACGGTTTCAATATCTTTTTATGACATTTTTTACATACTGGATGAAGTGTTTGTTCAATTTGTTTTACATATTGTGGTGTTGGATTCACTCCTAAGGCAGGACGATTCACCAACTGACTCTAAAAAATATACAAAATTGTCTTTATCATTTAATAATGAATAAAATGAGTAATTGAGAAAAAAATCTTACAAGATTTTTTGGATCTGTAAATACTTGTGTGATTGATGGATGATTGTAACCTGTGGAATAAAAGAAATCTATTATTTTCATTATTAAATTAAAATAAAAAAATTTGCACCTAACGGTAACGAAGCTATTTGTTCATAAACATCGAGTAAAACATTGCCATCAACGTCTACGCAATAATTTCCAATGGACTTATCCACATCCAATATAAATGCGGTACTTTGAGCATTCTAGATAAGAAAAACAAAACTTTTTATAGTCAAAATACTTAGAAAATTTTGTCATAGCAGCCGCGATCAAGACTAAAATATGAAACTCTTCCCGACTGTTAATTCTTGAGTTCATTAATTAAAAGACTGTGAATGAACTCCAATAAAAAAAAAAACGATTAATCGATAATCGACGGTTTTTTTACACGAATCGCAGTTAATCGTTGGTTTTCAATAAAAATCGACGACATGGGTATGATCGCAGCAGTTTTAAGCTCATAACTATAAATCTTGTACGGTTTCAAGGCCTTAACGAGGAACACTAGATATTTTTAAGGTCATAACCAGAGACTGCAAAATCGTAAATAAGGTCCTGAATAATTTGAAGATCGTTAATACACACCAAGAATACTTTTAAGATTATACATAGGGGCTCTAAGGTTATAACTGGGCCCCCTTGGCAAAGTTACGATAATAACCACTGCCATTATTTATTTAATTAAGATCATAATTATAGCTAAGTTCAGATCATAATTACGGCGGGAGATGTAAAAACAACAGCAAAAATGCTAGGGTTCTAAGTATATAACTTACACTCCTCCTTCTTTTGGAACTATTCGGAGGAGTTTCACAACATATTGTTAGTAAGTAACAGAAGAAGATAAACCTGATATTAGGAAACTGAACTAACTGGTACTAGTGAACTGTCCTATCGAGTTTTACTTTTAAATGAAAGTTAGACCATTTACTGCTGTTATTGTCATTAATTGGTACAAAAAAACTTGATGAAAAAATGATTTAAATTTCTCTTATGACATTATCTACCTGTGTCTTTTGTAATTCAGCGATGAGTTGTTTTGATTTTGGACCAGGTATTTCTGTTTTCACTGTCGGTCCAGATGGTTCAAGACTCAAGACACTATTAAAAGCTATAAACAACATTTTTCATTTACTAAATTATTTCATATTATGTATCAATCTATTTACCTCTCGATTGTACGATATTAACGAATGGGCGTAGAATAGACGTAGTAGCTTTCATCTAAAAATAAAATAATGTTCAATTATAGAACCATAATAACAATAATCAATTAAACGATAATGCTAAGTTTTTTTTTTATAGTTCTTATATACAACTAGGTAAATATAGTCTTTTTATTTAAGTAGTTTGTTTTTCGTTTTCTTGTTATTGACATTCAATCTATATTTTTTTCGATCTACTTATATAGTCTTATCATAAAAAAAAATGGCATTGTCAAGGTCATGCACAACTGAGTTCAAACCTAGATATTTTTCATTAACTAAGGAATAAAACAACATATTATCATCTGACCACAATTGCTGAAGTAAAGAATGGGAGTGATTTACGATGTGTACCATCAAGTATTTTACTCATAAAAACCTGATATAACCGAACGAACTTCAATAATATTTTTGAATACCGGTTACCGAGATATAAATTAAACTGAAATGTTTCCAGCGGCATGATTCGAAAAACACTTTTTTTCCTCTTAATTGTTTAAATATTTTAGTTTAATTCTTTAGCTAACATTGTAAGTTTATAAAACATCTATCTAAAATCTAATTAAACTTTCCTACATGGTCTTGAATACCCAAGTCAACTTTCGTGCTTCTGTCGCATCGCGAGGCTCGATAAAAAGTCGTGACAACTACGTGTAACGCGATCGTGAAATAAGAGTCTTACAATAGTGATCAAGGTTTTATCGCGATCCAAGAATGATCGCTCTGACTCACTAGAATCAAGCGGAACATAGAGTTTCTAAACCTCGACTTTTATGTATCATGTTTTACTCGGTTTTTTCTTCGAGAACATGGTGCATTTAAATCAGTACACAGCAATTTCTAGATATTACGCCAATTTCTCACTATAGGTATGAAACACAAGAAAGATATACATTAGATCAGAAAATATTCACTCTCAGATTGACTAAATTCTTTTTCCTGTGCATTTCTCAATTTTGATTCGACACGTAACTGATATCTGATCCCAGATTTAATAGTGAAATAGGCTGATGTTGAGTATTATCCATAAGGTGACTACTGACGTATGTGAAGAAAACATTCACACTCGGAGAGTGAGATCAATATGATCTTGACGCTCAACACCAGTTCATTGAATGTTCTCTGCATAGACGGAGGGGAACTGTGCTCTGGTCTAATGCATACAGAAAACCGATACTGACGCCTGCTACACCCCATAACACACAAACGGAAGTGGACGTATTACATTGAGGTTACTTATTAATATTATCAACCTTGATGGTTTATTTCTCACTTTGATGCATTATTATTCTGAAACTTTGCCCAGTCAACGTAATTAATCGAGTCTATACAGAGTAAAATCGCTTACATTCGGTGTTTTAACTGAGAGAAAATCTTTTATATTGTGAAAGTAACTTTAAGCGAGAATCAGATAGTTTAATCTCACGACAACAAAAAAAGGTTCAACATTGCTCACTTTCGTTTAGAAATTGCTGTGTGCATATCTATGAGTGATTTTATTTGGTTAAATAATAAATTGGGAATACTGTTTTAAAAAAACGCGTGTAAAAAGCTCTTCACTTTGCTATAAAAAGAATGAAGAATGATCCCTTTTGCTATTTGATTGTAAGCCTAAACGTTAAAAGAAAAATGAAATGTAATCACGTGCAGCTATGTGATATAGACTAGAGAACTAGCAAATAAAAGGATATCTATTTTTTTTATTATCTCTTTTTTCGCATTTTCCATCTTTTTGTTCTCTTTCCTTCCGATCGACGCGTTTGAGAGGAAAAAAATTCTGTTCTTTGTTCTGTCTTATTACATTAAACTTAGTTACACATGCTTTTATAGTCTATTTATTCGAGAATAGCTCCAGACACAGAACACAATTTTAAACGTAGTTTGAAAACTTAGTAAAGAAGAGATTTGCGCTGACATTAATTAAATAGGCTGTACAAAGACTGACGGCTTGTCATGAGGCAGCACTGTGCTTATAAATAAGGTCTTGCAGTAACAAAAAAATTCATTACCATACCATTGTCATTACCATGGTAATGGTAGTAGTAAAAATGGATTTTAATGCTAGATAACACATGGTAAATGGTAGCAAAAATTTAAATTCATGGTAATGGTAGTGGTAACGGATATTTTTCAGATTCCAGTTTATAATCATATCATCTCTTTATTAATGGTATCATATACCCCACAAAAAATTATTTTATCAGCACTGGTTGCGCACGGGTGCGCACCAGTGTCAAAGTTTTGTTTTCAATCACTATTTTGTTTTGTCAATTTCTGTCTATATTAACACCACAGTATATTTCGAATATTTCGAATGTCTTTCTGACTTCATCTTTTCCTTCTCATAAGAGAAGTGCCGAGGCAACGCCGCATGAATTTGGCATGTCAATGTGGTACTGATCAGTGCCGCATTCTAATACAAAATTTAGCATAAACAACTATAATAAAAAACTAATCAAATTGATTAAGTAAATTTCAGTGCGGCACTGACTTTTACCAGTGCGGCACTTTTTGGGCAGAAATATATCGGCACTGATTCGGCACTTGCTGGGCACGGGTGCGCATTGGTGCCAGTGACCGATGGCATACCATGCGCACTGGCAGTACTGCACTAATTCTTACCAGTGCCGCACTGAAATTTTTTGTATAGGGTATCACTTTAGTGTATATGATACAGTCCAACGTTATATAATGTTCACGCTAATCCATGATCCTACATATTCTTTATTTTGTGGCTTATACACGTGTTTATGTTTTTTTTTCCCTTCTATGGGAATATGTTCTATTACCATCGGAATTCCATTGCCATTACCATTACCACGTTAATGGTAAAACATTCATGATGATGGTAATGATAATGATAAAAAAATCTCTATCGATAGTAATGGTATGGTAAAGGGTAACAAAAAAGTCATGGTAACAGAACTCTACTTATCAACAGCATGAATGATATCAAAAACTTTCATTTCGTTAGCTATATGTTCGATAAAAATTCGTTTACTAGATAAATGATAATTAGAAAACTCTTTTGGTGCTTATGGCAAATATCTGAGTTCATTTTGATGCACGGATGTTAATAAAATGCGACCGTTGGCAAATCTTTGTCTGCCAAGATCTTTGTCTGTGGAAGGATCGAGAGGGTTGGTTTCCATCGATAGTACATGATGTGAGCATTCTACTAGCGTGTATGGAGCCAACAAAAACATGGCTTAAAAAAATTAAACCACGATCGGTCGAAATTATCTACATAGATGCTAAACAATGTGTTTTATTTTTCCAGACAACAATTATCTTCGTTGAAATTATCAAGTAATAATTATAGTGATATTGTCGACATTCTGCATATATCTGTCACGACGATATGTTCTGCAATGTTAAAGAGCATCTTGTTATTTTTTAGCTAGTTCTTCTACAAAATATCAATTTTCTCCTCTGTGACCTTCCACGTTAGTCACCTCAAATCGTTAGGAGATATGATTTGTTTTACCCCATCGTGTTTTTCGTTCATCCGTGTGCGTGTGGAGGTTATGCAAAGAGTAGTTGAAACCAAAGAATGATAGTTGACAGATTTTTCGCTGACACCTTTGCGCATTCGCGCCCAGAAAATGCCGATTGGCACCAGTGTCGATACATTTCTGCCCAAAAAGTGCAGCATCGGTAAAAATCAGTGCCACACTGAAATTTATTTAATCAGTTTAATTAGTTTTTTATTATGGTTGTTTATACTAAATTTTGTATTAGAATGCGGCACTGATCAGTACCACATTGACATGCCAAAACCATGCGATATTGATTGCGTCGGCACTTCTCTTATGGGAAGGAAAAGATAAAGTCAGAAAGACATTCGGAATATTAGAAGTATAGTGTAGTGTTAATATAGACAGAAATTGACAAAACAAAATAGTGATTGAAAAAAAAACTTCGGCGCTGGTGCGCACCGGTGCTAGATTTTTACAGTTTTCCTGGCACCGATACTCAGAAAAAAAATTATTCGACACCGGTGCGTATCTGTGTACAATCAGTGCCGATAAAATATATTTTTGTAGGAAACATACATACATTTATTTTCTCTTCTCTTCTTCCTGTATCATCAAACATATGTCTCTTCTCTTCCCTCTAAGGGTGACGGGCTGGTAACAATGCTATGGTGGGATTTTTTCTTCATTGGATTACCCTAGTCGAGAGTCCCGCGGGACTCCCTCGGGAGTTTTTTTTTCTCAAAAAATCACCGGTGACTTTTTTTGGCAGTGTATGTCTTGTTGATTCCATCTTTTGATTCCTTTGCTTAGGCTCCCAGCAATAAGTGAGTTCAGTAACCAGTAATGTGGTTTCCCAGACAACGAAGGTAGCGCCAATGCTGTGAAGAAACAAACATCTGACTCCCTGCTCAATTTTTCTGTTTGAGCTTAAAAAGGCAACTGTAGAAGGTAAATTCAGATCGGCCGGATGTTAGCAAGTCGCAACCTTTGAGTACTGAAGTCAGCAAGCAGGGAAATTTAGCAGAAATGTCAAAATCTTAGTAGTCTATTAAAGCTTTAGTTCCGAACACTCTCGAAGTTAACTTCGAGTTAATTCTAAAAAATTTGTAGTGTGAACGTGGCTTTATACGTTTCTTTTTGGGATCATAGAGGATAGAATCCAAAATAATATGTTTTTGTGGCCGTAGCCGTAATTTACCGACTACCTTTTCGCCGCCACTAACTACTACTACTGAAGTACTTAATTTTTATTCGTTGAAAATTTACCAACTACGCTCCTTTGAAAGAAAGAAAAGGGTCCGGTTTCGTTTGTTTTGTTTATCATTAGCTAAGTGGTGCATAGCAATTCAATTACAACCAACATAAAAACATCAAAAAATTTGAGTACTTTTGGCATTTTTCTCTTAATTTCTGTCCTACCTCAATCTGTTAATTTGCTGGCGCATTTTGTAAGTATAAAAAATGTTTATGTGATGTTGATTATGTATAATCTTTATTTGACACACATTTTTTTGAAAAAGGTTATAACATAATTTTCTTTTAGTTGTTTATACAATTAATATGGGTTAGGTGTGGTTTGGTCGTTTATTTCTTCGAAAAAATTTTATCGTCTTTTAATTAGTCAGTTAGCCGATTCTTATTACGATGTTAATTGAGCTTGATCAAAAATACATGTTTAAGTTGGGTTTCATTATAAGTAAGAACATGAACCTCCTCCTAGTTTCCTGTTTGATTCTTATTAGTGAACTTCTTTCGTTCTCTATCTTTTATCTAATGAAAAAGTATAGAATGAAAAAAAAAGTCTGTTATATTCACGCCTATATAGACTAACCTGAGCTGTTTTTTATTTGTTTATATATAATTCCATTTTTGATTAAGATTATAATGAGTCACTTGAAAATCTATTCTCTACTATTGAACTCTCTATTCTTCGTTTTTTTCTGAAGGAAGTTATTCTACGTGCATTGAAGACTGTAAAGCATGGTAGAGTACGGAAGTGTGTATATACGTCATGTTGATTTTATGCGCTGTTTTTTGTGAACTAAAGCATTTATTGTGAATCCAAAGTATGAAAACCGAATATAGGACAAAATTTTGATTCATTAGGGGAGCTCTAGTAGACTTTGCTAGTATGACTAGAAGATGAAATGTTATTTAGACTCTTATTTGTCAAAATATGCGCAAATTTTTTGTAAATCTTTATAGATAAAAATATACTTTTGATTTCGAATAATCCTGTGATAGATAATTCATACTTATACTTGATTCATCTTTATAATCAGTAAGAAAATTAATAATATTATATAAAAAATGACAAAAAATGCGAGAAAAAATAATTTTATCCTGTTTTATTTTCTTTTTTCCAAAAGTTTGGTGCTAGAAATTCGGTTAATTGTTTATTTTTTAACACATTTAAAAATTCTTGTTTCGATAATTTATCATCATTATTTAAGTCTAACGTAGACATAATTTCGTATGATTTATACGCGACACTAAATTTTTCTCGATCAATTCCATACAACATGAATAAAGCATGAACAATGTGATTAATTTCAGTGTAATTAATGTATCCATCCGAATCACGATCATATGCATTATAAATCCATTCTAATTTTTCACGTGGTGTTCCTTTACTATGAACATAAATTGCAAGTAAAAATTCATGAAATTCAATAAATCCATTATGACTAATAATGTCAAATGCTTTGAACATAAAATCGCAGTATGATTCTGCATCACCATTTGGACGTTTTGGTAAGATATTACGATAAAAGTGAACAAAATCTTGTTTATCTAAACGACCTTTTGGACATCGTCGAATAAATGTTGAATAATAACGTTTTATTTCATCATTTGTAAATGTTGTATGTTCATGTAAATAAGCTAAATGATCATGTGGAATGTTTATCGGATAATTAGTTGACGATGTTTGTTTTTCCTAAAATATATATAATATGGTCAATGATGTATTAACAATGCTCTCACAATCAAATATCAGTAATCCTGAACAAAATGTAATGATATCAGAAAATTTACAAAATAAAAAAAAGTTAGCAATTTGCACAATGATCATTGATCTTTGTTAAAAAATATAGTTGCTTGACGTTCTAAACGCTATAAAGAAGATTTACTTTTGAGAATCTGTCTATAAACCAAATATAATGTACAAGACTTTGTATTTATATAAAAAACAATAATTTTTACCATTTATTTACCTTTTTCTTTTCATTGTTTATCTGTTGATTTATTATGTTGGAAAACATAGGTGCAATTATTTCTAGAATATCTTTACATTGTTTACATAACTGAATAAATTCTTGACAATTTAAATGGTCATCATCGTCTATGTCGTACTGTTTAAATAATGATTTGAATTCATCTTCTTTCAATTGACTAAGATATTTTCCGTGTACAACATAAGCTAAACGACCTATATTAATAAATTCTCGAATGTCGATAAGTCGATCATGATTGGTATCATATAATAGAAATAACCATTCTAATTTTTCATTTAATGTTGTATCCTTTGAACAAATTGTTTTTAAAAATAAAACTTCTTTAAAATTTAATTGATTATTTTTATCTGAATCAATATGATCAAATAAACGTTCAATAATTGGTTGTGAATATTTTAAATGTTTTAATTCACTTGAATATAATTGTGAAAATTGTTGACGAGTTAAGTAACCTTTTGGATAGTGTGTCATAAAACGAATATAAATATCATCAATTTGTTTTTGTGTATAATTTGTATGTAACAGAATATATTCGAGCTCGCGATCATTTAATTCTGGACGTTCTTGAGATTGATTTAGACCCATTTAATTAGCTAGAATGTAATATTATTCATTGAAAACTAGTCTAAACAAGAATACTGACTAAATTAACAAACATTCAGGACAGAGTTAGAAAAATCTAACTATTGTTTATCACTACAGACAGATTATTTGTTTCGGTTATCTCCACATTTTTGAGCATTTAATTAGTGAATTTTCTAAATGAATCATTTTTTTTTCACAAGTGTCAATAAACTATGATCCAAAAGAATGTTTAAAATAATTTTTGACTGAACTAGTTTTAAATTAATATAACAGAAAGAGTATTGTCGAACTTATTTTTACATTTTTCACAGTTCTGACTTACTCATCCTGTCTATCTGACGAAAAACTGTTGATAGAAGAATTTTATGACTTTTTTTTGTACACCAACGTTTAACAACTACCACATAGTTGTAGATCAAATTACGAAATTAAACTTCACTTAGTCTATGTGAAGTATTTTTATCATGAATCGATCGATCTTTTATCTTCTGATACTATGATGGTCTGAAATTTGAAATCAGTGACTGGTACCAATTAAACTTTTTGATCCCAATCTTACATTTCATTAATGGCACATCAAATGTGTAACATATCTTTTTTCTACAGTTTAGTAACAGAAAAATCGATTTTGTTATGTATATACAAATCTAAAATCTTTACAGTATATACTTCTTACCGTTCCGTTCACTTGCAGTTTGTCCAATATAGTTTAGTAGTGCTGTGTGTACACTAAATAACTTTAGTGCGTTCCATCTACTATATATGTAATTTCCGTTCTTTTCTTTTTTTTTCTTTTTCTATGCTAATGAAAAGATGTAGGATGGTGATACTCTTTTTCCATATTTTTTTCGTTATATAAATATGATAAGACCTTAGTAGAAAAGCGATGAGATCATAAATCATGTCTCATCATTATGCTTGATATTGTGATTCATGGTGAATATGTCACTAACAAACTAAAGATGTTTACATCTCAGAAGGAAATATATCCATATGGAATCTCTGATTATTGTTGAGCGCGAGTGACGAATTTATGTACGAGTAATAGTACTCTAAAACCTAAGATTTTTGTGAAAATTAACAGCTTGTGCATGGTGCGAAAGGTGAAAATAGCAATGTTTTATGTTTCTATCAAAATTCGTTCTACTATACAAGTTTGCTTGAAGAGTGAGTTCAGGCAAAACGAACTTTGAAAAAACTATCACTTATATTTCCAGATGTTTTATTATGCTGAATTCAAATGAGACATTTATTTTCTTGTTTGTAAAGTTTTCTAGTCTTACAACGGATTTACATCAATGCAATCTCATTAATAATGGATATTTAATGATTTCATCAGCAACATCCCTTGTTTTTCATGTAAAAGTAATGTCACTTTGAACACATGATAATTTTTAACCACAGGTGTTCAAGAATCACTACCAGTGGGGAAATTTTGTCGAAGTTTCACGACATTAGGGTCGTGCAGTTGCAACATCAAATGCGTGGTCGTATGTGAACTTTCTATAATTGCACATGCGTCCACAAATGAGAATTTCTTTTCACGTGTGTCCACACAGCGTTTTACGACTTTCGCTAGTGACCACGTGCAAAAAATATGACGCGAAAAGTTTTCGTGAACAGTTCACGCGTTGTCACAAGTGAAATGTATTTTTCACGCGTGCCCATACACCATTTTACGATGTTCACGTGCGACCACATTTCATTTCACGATATTTACGGGTGTACACGTCGTTTTATATGCTAAAACTTCCCCATGGGTAGAGACTTTTAAACATGCTGTAACAGAACATAAAGATTGCTTGTACTGAAACTAATATTTACAACATTTTGAAAAAAATGTTTACCAAGACATAAAAGTAAATGTCTCATTTGAATTCAGCATAATAAAACATCTGGAAATATAAGTAACAGTTTTTTCAAAGTTCGTTTTGCCTGAACTCACTCGTCAAACAACCTTATATGGTAGAACGAATTCTGATAAAAACATAAAACATTGCTGTTTTCAGCTTTCGCACCATGCACAAGCTGCTAATTTTCACAAAAATCTTAGGTTTTAGAGTTCTATTACTCGTACGTAGTCTCGCCACTCACACTTATAGTCAAACGTGATAATCAGAGATAAATCAGATTCATATGGATTTATCCAAGAAGACTTCGATATGGTTTAAAATAATATAATTCATATTTATATCTTAGGTTTCTACAGAAGGTCTAAAACATATTTAATGTTTGTTTCATATTTTTTATTCAAATTTATTATCTATGATACACTTGAATTTCTCATTATAACAAATAGACTATATGAAAGAAGCATACCTATTCATTTTCTTTTTCCTAAACAGAATAGTATTCATTTATTTGTTCATTCTGAAAACATACATGTTTTTTATTTTACTACAAGTAGATAACCTGTAATAGAGAGTAAATGTTTTATTCATTTGTTGACAGCAGAAAAAGAAGTGAATTATACCAATAAATGCGTTTAAATGCGATTCAACGAATGCTACATGTTATAAATCAAAATAGATTGACGAAGTATTTGAGTGATATTTACGTTCCAGATTGATTTGTTGAGTATCTCAACAAGATCTTTCTATCTTGTAATAGAATTATCTAGAGTAATTTATAGTACAAACAAATTGAATGAAAATGTTGAGAATATAGAAACAGTCTATTTCATCCATTTTCTTCAACTTCTTTTTGCACTTTGTTTGTGTTTTTTTACTTAAGTCATTTCCGATCGAGATTTAGAACAGCTATACATCGTTTCTTAAAATAAATTTTTACTCCGGTAGTAGAAAATCGTTGCGTGTTACTGTTATTAGGTTTTGTCTTGCATCTTTTTCTTTGGATAGAAAAAAAAATTGAATATGTGTCACAAAACACATCTGTACAGGAACATATCGCCTTTTTCTATCGAAGACAAAGCAGTTTACCATTAAGCGAAAAGTTTGTTTCGTACTTTCGTTGTAGATTTATGATAATCATGTTTAGAACGATATCGATGCATCATATTAATATTTATCCAACAATTCAAACAACAATGACAAGATGTTTTCGTTTATTATTCTCACTTGCTTGGAAAGCAGCCATTTTGTAAGTAAATAGATATTCGGCAATTTTAATAATGATCTTGCCAATTTCATATAGTAATAGTTCATTTTATTTAAGAAATTAAAGAGATTGTCTTGATTAGCTTATAATACAACAGTTTACTATAAAAATCGTTCTTTTTTTTCTCATTTAGATTCCCATATTTATTTTCATTTGGTACATTAGCAGCTGGTCTACAAATTCGTGTTGATATTGATATAAATTAAGAATAATGTCTCGAAGTGTAAAAGATCTTCGTGATTTAATATGTATATCAAGATTTGGTTTTCGTCCTGATGAAGAAGAGTCAAATGAAGACAAAGATAACGACACTACTAAATTGTCAAGTAGTATTTCCTCCCCTAATAACGATGATTTTAATTCAATATTATTTTATTTTGATCCGAGTACGATTAACAATTGGTTAGATATAACAAATGTTCGATTAGATAAACTTCGTCAATGGTGCAATATAAAAAATAATTTTATCCATTTTATTCATTTTTGGTTAAACAAGTTTGATCATAAACATAAAATATCTTTGTTTGATATGGAATTTGAATTATTCCTTGAACATTTATTATTAGCATTTAGTCCGGGTAATTTTGATTCATCTATTATTGAGCATTTTGCTCGTTATATACTTTATGATATTGATCGAATTAGTAAATCATTGAACAAAGATTCTGATTATGAATTTATTCAACGTATTGAAATATTAAGTAATTTAGAACGAACAAATGAGTATCGTACGATATTAGCTGATTTACCAACATTAAATAATAGTAATAAAAATAAACTCTATTTACAATGGATGTTAGCTATGAGAGCATTCGGTCTAGTTTCAATATGTTCAGCGGCGATTGATTTTTACGAAAATATTCAACACACATTAAATGAAAGTAAGATATTTATTTGAATAGTTTTTGTTTCTTTCCAAATTATATCCTTCTATTGTGACCAAATAGATTAACAAAAAAAGTACCGTAAAAGAAATTTATAAATTTTAGTCGTCGATCGTTTCTTTGGCAGATATGAAAATGTTGACAGAATAGTTTGACTATAATTTCTACAGATATATCGAACATTTTTCTACTTCTCTAGATACCTTAGTGTCAATAAATCAAGATCTTGAAAAAGATAAAACTCAAATTACAAGTTTAGATCAGTTAAAACATCGTGTTGAAGCTGCTATGAGGTATATTTATTTTTGATCGTTTTATTTATTCTTTTTTATTTATTTTTTATTCTCTATATTTAGATTGTGTTATGTTGATGTCATTGATTATTATTTTAAAACGAAACAGTTAAATGATAAAACATTTTTCGATGATAACAACGGTCGAAATATTCTAGTTAATGCTGTTACAATTGGTCACCTTGACATCGTTGAGTATTTATTGAAAGCGGTAGATATCGAGTATTTCTTTACAATTTATATATGAAGTATGTTCTATACTATTTCTATTTAGAATATACCTGAATTAGATATCAATTATGTCACACAATCTGGTAATACAGTCTTACATGTTTGTGTTAATGTTCAACGTAAAGATATAATTCAATTGCTTTTAAAATATTATCCAAATATTAACGTTAATATTAAAAATAAACAACAAGCAACACCTCTTCACTTAGCTATTATTTACGGTAGGTACTGTTAAGCAGCATATACTATTTTAGTTAAGCTACAGTTCATACTTAGTGTTTCACCAGTTATTTATTTTTCATTTTTAGGCGATGTTGATATTGTTAACATTTTACTTGAAGCTGGTGCTGATAAATCCCTATTAATGACAAATAAAACATGCAAAGATTTAGCAAAAGATTTTAATAATGAATATTTATATGAAATGTTTTCCCATTAATGAAATAAGTATTAATAATTAATATTAATTGACATTCATTCAGTCAGATTCGATCATACATTCTTCTTCTTCTTTTTTTTGTGCACTGCTACATACAATATGTATTTGTTTTTATTTTTCGTTTTTCGGTTCAAAATACAAAAGTTGTTTATATTTTTTGTTGTTTTTTTTTTGTTATATTTTCGCCTTTTGCTTATTTGTGAACAGTGACCATATGCACACTGACATTATTTGTTTAATGTAAGCTTTATTTTTCCACAATACAAATGAGATAAACCCCATCAGAGTATGTTCTACCCGTTAAACTATGGAAAAATATAAAATTAATTTTGTATAATTGTTTTCTTTTTTCATTATACGGAAGTAAAACTCATAGAGAATAAAATATAGGAAACACCAAAACGTAAGTTACCTATTTTAGAACTTTCTATCAGAGCTCAAAATTGTTCAAAAATGTTCAATGTCCGCCGAACAATAGACATACATTTTCTTGATTTTTAGACGCATTTTTGTTTGAAGTACATCAGGATGACTATTAGTAAGAGTGTGTGAATTATTACATCTGAGGGTCGTATCATCAAAATTTTAATGGTCTTTGGCGATATATTCTCAACTTAGTTTTGAGTGAAAAGTTACAAAAAGTCGTACAGTCCAAGGGTGCCAAACCTTGTGCTGTACTGTTAAAAATAAAGCGATTGTACAACAAATAGTACAGACACTGGTCAATAAAGATGTTCTTGACCAAGGATTCTGGATCACGGTAATGATAACGTTAGGAATAATTACTTTCGATCGCCAAAGACAGTCTAGTCGTTTCTGCACCGAACATGTCAATTGAGAGATTATTTCAGGCATGTCGTAACACGATTATCTACGAAAAAATCGCATAAGTTGATGTTTTTGGAACAGAACTAACATGTGCTTCTAAAGTATTTAAGTTATTTTTCTAAAAAGCTATAGTAGGCCGAGAAAAAGGCAAATGCTTTCTTCCTTTTGCACTACGTTTTCTACTCCTTTTTTCTCGATCAATTGCATTTATTGTACAATAATATCAATTCAGACAACGACCTGGATTTGAAGTCTTCAATATTTTTGGAAAATTCTAAATGATCAATAAGTACTTTTCTCTTTTTTTACTTTTCGCGGCGGTTTTTACTCGTAAGACTAAACAATACAAATATTTTTTCACTTAACTTAATGAATAACGAAGTGAGTTGGAATTTGGATTCTTTTTCTGATACCAATAGTTACACTTTCATTTCGTAAATTCATTTTCTAGCCAGGAGAGACCGTATGCCAAACCAAACAGTACTCTAACAGCCTAGAAAAATTTGAAATTTGGTCCATGAGACTTTTACGACTATTTCCGCGCTAAATAATACAAACAGTATGCGAATTGATGAGATTTCAATTGAGCTTTTAATAAAAATAATTTAAATAAAAAACAATATAAACACACAACCAACAAAATTCCGTTTGCTTTTTGGTTAGCAGTTGATGCTTTAGCTTTGTTAATTCATCAAGCTTTTTCATTGTTAGACCCAAAAACCATTCCATCGTTCAGTTAGAGTTTCATGTGATTTTGCTCATGCATGTGATTGAGTTCCACACCAAATTCTTCTCTTCAAGCTGCCAAGTGCCGGGATTAAAGATGAACTTTTTTTGCGGTTTAGTTGATATCTTGAGGGTAGGAATTAGCAGATGAAAATCAATAGCTTCCTATCAATTTTAGTTCCAGCGATCTCAAGTTTTTTGCAAGGAATCACTTAGAGAACGTTTCAAAACATATTTTGATTGATTGGTCCTATATTCCGTTCCTTAGGTCGAGATAACTATAATACAACATAATTTAGAATTATCTTATATGCAACTGTCGTGTGCAGCAAGCATAAAAACATTTTTGTCTTTACAGATGATGAGGCGATAGATCGAAAACTACTGTTTCTGTATTTTAGACTACATTAACATTTTCAACTAAAGTTTATCTTTCTAACCTTTCTCTGCATTATTTTATAAGGTCATTTTTGTGGTAAAACTCATTATCATCAAAAATTCGAGACTACTGGATATACTCGATTTAATCATTACAAAAAGTTCCAAAAATTGTAACCAAATGCCTTTTCCAAGAGGTCAATTCTGCCTGAAGCTTTTTTTTCAATGAAAGTTTACTGTTTCTCTGTATTTAGCCAACTTTTGTTTTTTCTTTAATCTCCCTTATGTATAGCATTATTAATGATTGGTGAGATCAATCACAAAAAAGAAGCATTCTTGATTAAATTGTTAGAGAAAAAGGAAAGCGAAACTTGGAAAACGAACGTTCCTGATCTCAGCTTAGGTCTTATAGAATGAGGTCTAATCTCTCTGACAGATCTGCCATTTACCTTCCTATTGCGGATAAAGTGAAGAATTTTTCTCAAAAAGCTTCATCATGATTAATTTTACTCATTAACATATTTTTACGCATTTATTCGCATGCATTCATTATTAGAAGCTCGAAGAAGGTCAAACCTTCTAATAAAAGTTCTCCGAAAAGCCTGAAAGGCTAGAAAGATAAATTTAGTTGAAAATGTTTATGTAGTCTAAAATATAGAAACAGTACTTTTCAATCTATTACCTCGTCATCTGTAAAGACAAAAATGCTTTTACACCTTATGTCTTTATGCAATTACAAAACTAGTCGGTCAGAATAGAGGGATAACGACCGACCGGAATATATTTTAAGACGCTCCCTTAGGATCCGTCGTATTTCTTCTATTCATCAATGGTCTGCCGGATATGTTAAGTTCTTCTACGTGTTAACATCTATGTTCGCTGACGATCTGTTTTGCTGGGTTCCTTTAGGAGCGGACAATGTTTCTTTATTCTAGTCCACCTTCAGTCGACTCTTCCTGATGAAATCCCGTATAGTTTCTGAAAAATTGCGAAATCCCGAAGGAACCACTATTTTCCAGGAATACTGTGGATACACGAGGATTCTTTGGGGACCAGAGATTTCGGGGAGTAAGAGAGATAATAGTTCTTGGGGAGACCCCAGGACTGTGCATGATGGTTTGGTGCACACAAAGGTTTGGATTTATTTGAAATATTAGATCAATTGCAATGAGGTCAGCTCACAGCGTACATGGAAGTTACGGTTGTTTACTTTTAATTACTTCATACGCAACGAGTAAAATCAAGAAACAAACTGCTTTCTTATAAAATTCTGTCGTTATCCGGCTAATACTTTCCGGGATCTCAACTCCGCAAGAGTTGATCGAGTACAATAAAAACTCGAATTTTTTGACGGTAGAAGGCATCCTGCTGGATTTTTGAACGCTCTTATTATTTTTTTCTTTCAGAAAGATATTATTAATCTCCGGTAGCGAAAGTGCTGACACAGTTTTCCTCCAATTCGTTTCCAAATTCTTACGAAGCACGTTTTGCGTTTCTGAAAACCAAAACTGAGAAGAAAAAAGGGCAATGAAGGAGGAGCAAGATTGACAGATTAAAAAAGCTATAGTAGGCCGAGAAAAAGGCAAATGCTTTCTTCCTTTTGCACTACGTTTTCTACTCCTTTTTTCTCGATCAATTGCATTTATTGTACAATAATATCAATTCAGACAACGACCTGGATTTGAAGTCTTCAATATTTTTGGAAAATTCTAAATGATCAATAAGTACTTTTTTCTTTTTCTACTTTTTGCGGCGGTTTTTACAAAATTTACACTTTTAACAAAGCATTAATATCAAACAGCTTAATGCCATTCTTGCAAATAAATCATCTTTTGTTGCTTCTTTGTTTGTGTGTATTGTAAAGGAGTGGAATAAACTTTCACTGTTTTTTGTTGATAGTCGTGCGATCTCTTTGTTTAATGTAAATATTCAGCAACAAATTTGTAAACAAAAAGGTAAAAATGTTAATTTTTTCCTACAACATTTTTTTATGGAGCTGTACTCATTACTTAGTGTATGTAATTTGATTCCATACTCTCTTTAAAAGTGTAACGCTCTTGTGAACCTCTAAGTTTTTCTTGTTATTAACTTTGCTATTTAATAAAACTAGATAGATACATACTCATATAACCATGAATAAATATATGATTATTTATGAGTTTATTCCAATAATAACAAAATCAAACGTATGTTAGTTGAAATAGCTTATTTGGTATTATTTATTCAATTGATTTATTCATTGCCTAATCATCTATATTTGTTTTCGATGATAGATTATCTGTGATTTTTTCCATTGTCTGTAAAGAATTAATACCACATTTTAAGAATAATATATATACAAAGTATATTGGGCAAACATTGTCAAACATCTCTAAATTCATTTAAAAATTTATTCGTCATTATTTTTATTTTATCTATATTACAATTGTATCCCATAGAAAAATAACAATAAAAACAATAAAAAAAGAAAATCAACAAGGTCAATTAAAAATTATTTCGCGGCAATACACATCTGTCTATACATTATTATTGTTAAGACGCAAGAGAGAGCCTCCTAGACATTATTATTAAGACTTCTTTAATATTATCCTTTTTCTCCAGTACGTCCAACAGTCAACTTTTTTCAAACAATAGAATGGTACTAATATCATAGCATACATAAGTACAATACTCTAGTAGTCACCATCCCTGTCTCTTGATTAGTCTACTATTTTCTGTTGTTTTGTAAACGCAAATACAGTAGTTTGTAGAAATATGAAGGTTTCTGCTAGTAGCTTGTGATAAATCTTATACATCTTATCGTATTCTTAACGGTCTATTTTGTCTGAAATTAATAGTTTAGTTTTTGAAGTGATACAGATAAATAGATTTTCTCACTTTTCATCTGTTAATTTAGAAACGAACTTTTCAAAGATTATTTTTATAATGCGATTTAGTGTCTAGTAACAATTCCAATCAAAAATCTTGGTAATTTTTATTTAACTTTAACTGTGGTCAGTGGTTAATGATTGTAGAAGTGCGTATATTTCGAGTTTAATTTACTATTGTGCACGTAGTGTTGTAGATGGTTGTATTAATATCTCTTTGTCTAGGAGATGCGTCTCTACAATCTTATTCTTAGCGTATTTGCATTCTAGTTATTATTATTATTATTATTATTACTGTTCTTTGTTTTCTTTTCATTTTTTACTGCGAAACCACGAAAAAAATGTTTGTTTTTCGGCTTTTTTCAATTTGTTTATATTTTCATCCTGTTCAAATACAATGCCACGTGCAAACAAATTTAATGCTTGACGATGTACGCGTATTTGAATTTCGTTTCCCGATATCAATTCACCATCACACGACCAATAACTAGGTTGTTTTGAATTGATTAATTCGGGTTTAATTAACACTTCATAGACACGATATCTTTCAACATTTGCTAATTGATCAATCTGACGACTATCACTGGCTACTTGCCATAAAAATCGTAAGAAACCCAGTCGCCAAGAACGTTCAACAAGAATAAGATCAAATGAGCCATCTCCTAAACAAACACCAAAAACATCTCGTTAACTTGATTGTAAGTTCAATGCGTTTTAAATGGATAGTCAATTTTATACAGTGACAGATTTTAACTATCTACTGAAGTTTTGTAACAAGCGATTATACCATTTTCAAATCTTATTTTCTTTTACAGACGGATTCTACACCAGATAAATAAACTTTGATAATCTATGTTTCTTATTACTATTTGGTAATCTTACCTAAATGGACGAATGGAGACATTCCATATTTTGACTTCTTACATCTACATGGCATATTTAAACAATTGATTGTTGTGTATCGCCCTTGTTTTTCTATTTGTAACGGTAAACGAAATTCAGGATCGGTTTTTGAATCATCAACCGAACATTTATCACAATTTCTATTGCAAAATTGTGCTCGTGGTGAAACAATTTCTTTCAAAGTATCATCGGTTCTCGTTGTATGTTGGATAAGTTTTTGTTTTGTTGTTGTTACTTGTAATGGTTGTGATGCACCTAATTCACTACTGTGGTGTAAGCTTGCATCAGCTGGTGATAATGTTATAGATAATTTACAATCATAAGATTTATTACGAAGAAATTGTTTAAAGCCGGCTAAATCATAGCGAAACGGTCCCAAACATCTCCAACTTTCAGATGAATGAATTATATCGCCAAAAAATCCATATGCCATCATTGTTGCCATAAATCGCACAAAACCTTGTTCACTATGAATTGTGGTTAAATCAATTAACAATGATTCACCCGTTATAATTTGTAATGCACTCGTGATTGGATCCTATTTTAAAGAAAAGATAGAAAAATGTCACTAAAAGCTCAAAAGTAGTTAACTGAGTATTATGAACGATTTCCAAGACAGTAAAATTTTCCTTTTCAATAATCATAGAAAATTTTTAGAGACTAGAAATTAAGCTATTTACATTCATTCCAGTTGTTCCGTAAACGACTGCATCCGTAGAGCCGGCTGGAATAATCCCAATGCGTGTTTCTGGACGTATCAAATTAATTCGTGGCTCGTTAATATCTAAATTTGACTCTGTAATTGTTTTTAGTAAAAGACCATGACATAATTCCGAAAACATTCCATCTCCGCCAACACAAATAATACCATCATATTTCTTTAATGTTTCATCACGAATATAGTCACGAGCATGATTTGCACGTTCAGTATAAATTGTGTCAACATTCACTTGTGCTTCATCGAATAATGTCCGTATTTTTTTCTCATATATCGGACGTCCTTTTCCTAAAAAAACAAATAAAATTAATAGATAAACATGTCCGTGATTGAAAGAAGATGACTAGATCACAGAAACAATAATGAACTAGTACGAGATATTCTTCTCATTTTATTAGTAGGAATCATCTAAGCTCTGACCGTATGAGTCAAATATGCCTACCTTTTCCACATAACGGATTAACAAATGCTAATAAATGTTTAGGACGTTCTTTGAGCATCGATAAACATTTAGTCAATTGCATACAAAAAATGTCCGCTTCTTCATTTGTCTTCAATTCAATAACCAAACGTTTTAATATCCATCGAAATGGACTTTTAGTATCTGTATATGTTAATAAACATGTTTTCGATTTTTGTTCTTGATCATCGATACCAGTATCTTCTTCAATCGGTGCAAATGCACGATGTGACATCGATGGCGCTGATTCACTACTTAATTCTGTGGACTTATCTGTTAATATCGGAGATATAGAAGTTAATGCTTCTTGATCTTCAGCATTAATAATCGGCATTGATAACCTTAATGAGTCTGTACTGTCTTTGTTTACATTGGCATTTTGAGTATGTAAAGTTGTTGGTTCAACAAAAGGTCGAGTTCTTTTTGACCTCTTTTTTTCTGATAATGAATTTAAGAATCCATTTTTAGTCTTTTCTTTCTTTTTTATTTGACGAATATTAATCAATTGTCTCAAATGAATACTTGATGGAACATTCGACGATGCTGTATAACCAGATTTTTGATTAATTGGTAGAAATAAAATTTTTGTTGATGAAGCAATAATTTCTGCTTTAGTTGAATCTACTGATGTTTCATTTATTAAAGGCTCAAAAGTTGTTTTTTGTTGTTGTTTTTCAGTATCAATTCCATCATGTTGTTCGATACATATTTGTAATTTGTATTGCCATTTTTTATAGTTACAAACTGACTCATATAAATTATATGGCATTATAATAAATTACAAGAAAAGCAATAGATTAATTGAAATTAGACAGACTATTCAACTGTAGGAAACCAGTTAGATGCCTGCTGCTCAGTACAAAATATTGATGAGTGTCCATAATTACAAATTAAAATCGATTATGTCACCATTATTCGTTTCATTTATTATCTACAACGAAAAATAAGCCTACCTATATGTAACGAAAGAAAGAAAAAAAGGTAAAGTTAAATTGAAATATCTCACGCACGTGTGGTATCCCCATTATTCAGCTCGCAGAACTGAACAAAAAAGTGCAATGACCTTCTCATTACTTTACAAGGTGAGAAATAGAATCTAGTTACAAATCTCTTTTCAATATTTCTCTATTTTGCTATTCGCAGATTTTCAGCATACAAACATTACTATAATGATCAAAAAGAATCTAAATCGTGAATTTCTTTTGGTAAAATAGGTAATATCACATGTATTTTATTATGAATATTGGACACGAATAGCGTGGATGGAGTAAATTAGTAGAATTATTTAAAAGAAACTTGTTCACATCAGAGAATCGAACTTGACGAAATTAGAATCAATCAATAATACAAGTAGAATAAAAGACTAATTATAAAAACAAGAAAACTGTTTTTGCCTTTTTCTATTATTATTGTATAAACTAATTTTCTTTGATGTATTTTTAATTACATAGAGAGGAACACATGCATCAAATCAAAGTACACTTTCCTTTTTGTCGTTTATTTCTTAGTGATGTAATGGTACAGTAAACACATGCTCCCATGCCTACGGTCATTTGAATGAAACAAAGAAAGTCGATTCTATCGACGATGAATTGAAACACAGGTTAATCAGATGCACTGCTTAGAAATTAAAACATCAACAGGCACGTTTAAAGATAGATTTAAAATGATCAAATAAGACAATAAATCATTCGAGTGGAAACGGCATGTTTCAAATCATATCTTAGATATTTTAAAGTAAAATAACGTAAATAACATCATTGAAGCATGGAATAAAAACAACAACGAAATAAACCTTCACATAGAATTAACCTCATCGATTATGGTCAGTGCAAAAAAAGAAAAAACAAGAAAAATTGCAATGATAGAAGCCAAGGAGTAAAAGTCGTTGTTTACTGTTATAAACATCTAGAAAATGATTACTTCAGAACAAAGAAAATAGGAGAAAAATAGTAAGTCAAGCAAAAAGCATACAAACATTTATAGGTCAATGGATATATTTTAATAAAAATTCGATCACGTATTTCATTCAACCACTAATCGTTCCTTCATTCTATTACGCAACAGATGTTTAAGTCTTTATCATAAAACTTAAGTGAAAATAATTCTTCTCCTATACTCTTCCTTGGTTTGGAGTTTACTATATGCTAAAACCTACGCCAATTAATAAAAATCTTGATCTTTGAGCCAATCTTTGTACTAGTTAAAACCCGATATAGTGAACACTGCTTCAGATTTTCTCCGGAGGCATCGTTCTATTGAATGCGTTCAAAGTTCACATAACGAAGTCAGAAGTACTATATTGTACAGAAGAGACTTGTCAAAGTACAGCTGATTGACAATCGATGACTCATAGGTACTGAATTGGACCATTGAAAATAGAGATTCATAACCATCTGATTGAATTCATAAATCTTTTACCACAAATAACAGCTGTAACATAGAATTCTTTCTCAGAAGAAAATATTTTGTAATTCAGCCATCTCATTTTCTGTCTTGCAAACACATCATTTCTTAGTAACAGTGCTACTTACGCGATTATAATGGTCGACAGGTTGCTCATTTTGTTCAAACCAAGGCACCCATAAATCTCTAGTATCGAAGTGAAATTTCTAAATTTTACGGTGATTGTAGCGTTTATGAATGAAAATTTATGGATACCTTGGTTTGACAAATTTTATGTGGGTTAAAAATAACTAACGATACAAAATTCTAATTAGCGTCAGATTTATTTAGTGAATTACGTACCAGTTAGAACATAGGCTAGGACGATAAATACAGGCTCAAAACTAGGCATCCATACATTTTATCCATAAATCTCTACTATCAACGTGAAGTTTGGAAATTTTACGGCGATAGTAGAGATTTTTGTGAATAAAACTTATGGATGCCTAGTTTTGACCTAAATACAGCCACTCAGCAATGCCATTGACATCAGAATATAAATACTTCTGTTCAATTATTGCCAAGTATTGTCCATGACTATCCAAGACTAAAATTGGTTTCCTATAACTGAATTCAAAATTTTTTATTCCATTTAGGTACAGAATATAAATCATAGTTTTCAAATTGTTTCACTGTATGTATTATGACTTATTGCGGGGCACTTTCATTTAGGTCCGCCCACCATTACATGACCTAAGAGCCGGAAAAAATTAAAGACTCTTCCCGTGTAGAGCATAAAAAGTTACATAGAAATCCATATTTGTTCACTAAAAATGTCACAGTCTATATGCCTTTTCAAGAATGTCAAGTTTCAGCCCTCCTTCTAATAAAGCAACTTTGATCTTATTTTTCTCTGCCTCTACAGAGCTTACACCACCGTTGGGCATACCACACGAAAGAGCACTTCGAGT